AAATATTGAGACAAAACAACTTTATCTGGCAAAACGGGATTCAGCTGCCATTGTTTGGGTTTTAAAGCCGGTGCTTTTCGCTACTAGTGGGCTATAACATATAGCCTAGTGGTAGCTCAACCAATCAGAGCACAGCATCGATAATAGACCACTAATTGGATATTATTACATTTAGCCGCTTTTTGTATTTGCATTTTTCCTTAAACGTTTTGATCATATAGCAAGATTCCTCGTATCCTCAACTAGCTTCCACTTACATAAAGGGCTATTTAGGAAAGACCGACTTACCACAAAATGGGGCTTTACTGTTTGTTTTTAGGAAGAATGTCCCTTCCTTTTTAGTGCGGTCAGCGTCAAAACCCATGCTAGGACAGGCGCCATCGCACACCTGGCATTTCCTTTGTTCAAAGGTCGCGTAATTCACGCATGGATATGCAGTCCATGAGCAGGAACCTTGCACCGAGGCAGTGTAGTATTCGGGTGCTCTCATGTGATCACATGGAACTGATGGATGGAAGTGAAAAGAGAAAAGGCATTTGCCTTCCATTTAAAAGGCACAGTGCAGTGCCGGGATCCAGACCGTGAGATGAGGTGCGGGGGCGGGGGGGGAAGTGGGGGGGGAAGCGGTGGGAGGGGGTGAGCAATCATCCAGACCCTTAGAAAAGGGGGGGCCGGTCTCCAAAAAGTCTTTTTCGGTCCTTCAGGCCTCATTATGGTCTAAAAATAAGGGGGGCGGGCCCCCTGCCCCTCCCATGGATCCGCCACGGCAGTGGAGACTCATCAGAGACCTTTAAATTCTAAGACGAGAACGTACGAGTGCGAGATTTTCTCAGTACTAACAAGTGCTCGCTTGTGAACCAGCGTCATTTTGGCGGGAAAAAATGCTAGCCGTCGTCATTTAACTACGAGTTTTAGTGAAAATGTCGTAGTCTAGTGGCGGAAAAGAGTTATCAAATGTTAGAAGATTTAATTTATCAGTTTGCGATCCGTAGAGGGCTTGTGAATCCAAAGTACAATGAAGATTTCAGGGGTGTTTACGTTTGAGAATACGCGAAAAAACGTTCAGTCAAATCTCAAACTCGTCCTCGAATCTTAAGGTCTCTACTAATAATCTGCTATCAGGCGTCGCTTTTATTTTTATTATTTTTTATTTTATTTTTTGCTGCATGAATGGAGCCCGCAAAAGTCGGTCGACGGGCAAAGAAAAACAGGAAGAAGGACCGCCTGATCGCGGGTTTACTCGTTCCTGAAAAAGGAGAGACCCATTTGAAAGCAACCAAGAACCAAAAACAAAATCGCTTTCAACCTGAAAAGCTCCATTCATTCGCCCTATGACAGATTTTAATTAGAACGAATTTTTCGCTGCTGATAAAAATAGGATGGGAAAATAATGCTTATTTTAAAGCGAGGGGTTTCAGTACGGATTTGCAACTAAACAAATGTAGCTGGCATGAAAATAAAGGGATAAAGAAAATAAATAAAGCGAGAGAAAGAAAGAAAAAGAGTAAGGGGTGTGAATTTTTCGAACGTCTCAACTTACATTTGAACAGGCAACCTGGCTGTCGAGAGCCACCGTTTGGGTAAAAGTCGACGTCTCCATCTCTCCGGTTTGTGCCGAGCACTCCTGCATCCGTATGGATTACGTCAACATAAGAAGCGTCACTTTCATCAAGTCGAAAGTCTGAGCTAACTGTAGTAAAATAAAGGCCAGCAGGATCCAAACCTGTTAAACCCACCACAAACAAACATTAAATATACAAGCAATGAGTGGAATCTAACAGAAATGTAGCAACTGTTATAGTAACGGTGTCTTTAGTGGTGTTCATATTGATAGTGATAGTGATAGTGGTAGTGGTCGTGGTAGTGATCGTGGTAGAAGTAGTGATAGTGGTAGTGGTTATGGTTGTGGTAGTGGTAGTGGTAGTGATAGTGGTTGTGGTAGTGGTAGTGGTAGTGGTAGTGGTTGTGGTAGTGGTAGTGGTAGTGGTAGTGGTAGTGGTAGTGGTAGTGGTAGTGGTAGTGGTAGTGGTAGTGGTAGTGGTAGTAGTAGTAGTAGTAGTAGTAGTAGTAGTAGTAGTAGTGGTAGTGGTGGTGGTAGTGGTACGCAGTAATGGCATTGGTAACGGTATAGGTAGTGGTGGTCATAATGATACTCGTATTGGCAGCGGTAGTAGGAGGACTTGGCAGTGGTAGAGGTAGTAATAATGGCAGTCTTAGTGGTAATAAGCTTTGGTAGTGGCAGGGGAATTAGTAGTTACGTTTTGGCAGAAATATATATACTGGTAATAGTTAACTAGTAGTAACTGAGGAAAACGAATTTTCAGTATACACTAAGCATATATGCCGTTAATAGAACAAGACTTATCAATAGCGTATGAATAGTTTATTATTATTGTCATTATCATTATCATTATTATTTTTATTTGCTTAGACTGGGAGCAAGCTCTCCATCTAGGGGATATCAGTGAGAAATAACGCGAGAGGAGGCGGAAGAACCATGGAAAGATCTTTTTTTTCTCAACCCTTCGCTGCCTCAGCTTCCGCTAGCGTGTTGTTAGGCTGCTTGATTTGCTCGACACTCGAAATGGAGAGCTTGCTCGCAGGATAGTTCAGTCTTACCAGTTACTCTAGCCAGTTTCATTCCACGAGCCCGCAAATAGCTTCCTGCATATCCAGCAACGTGAGCACCGAGACTGAACCCCACAATGTAGAAACGATCAATCAAACGATTAGGAGAGCCAGAGCTACTAGAAATCAGGAACCTTATGAGTTCGGCTGTCTGCGCTCCTACAAGCAGAGTGTTCCCAGTTGCCTGACCATACGGGAATTTGGCGCCACTCGACCAATCCACCGAAATCACATTGCAGTCTTCTCGTCTTAGCAGTGCATTCTTCATTGATAAGGCCCAGGTATTGATGCTTTCTGTGCAGTGATTACAACACTGTCAGATTGTTGCACTCTTAAAGGGTGGTAAATGGGGTTAGTTGTCGGGAGACCAAAGCTTTGAGAGCACTAAAATTTAAATGCTTTAAATTCCTCAGTAGAGTGCAAAAAGTTTATCTGCGCGTGGCGTTCTGCTTTTCCGAAAAGTTTAAAAAGGCTATCTCACTAGGATATTGCTGTTTTAGGTCAACTCTCCGCTCTGTACTTCTACACAAAATACTCCTGTGGGGTTACCAAACTTTCAAACAATTTTTGTCGGCAGCACTTTGTCTTAGAACAGATAAATATTTTGGGTGATTTTTGCCGGAAAATGTTGGCCCAACTTTTTCATTCAATCCATGTCCATCCTTTTCACCCGTGGCAACAGACGACCGGAAACAGTTTCATTGTTTTAGCTGTTTAAAACAGAAAATAGCATGAAATAGCTCCTTAAAATGGTAGTAAATGGTTACCCTGTTTGCACTTTATTGACAAATTTTACTCGTTTAGATTTCAGTACTCATCGATTACGCTTGGGGTGCCTATGCTCTCACCGTTTTGCCATTGGCACTATGCTGATCTCTCTCTCGAAAAAAAGATGAATCTAAGACGCTGTGACCCAGGCCTCCTGGGTGAGAGGTTCCCAAACTAACCTGTAAATCCGTGAATCACAAAAATTGTCCGCCTTGAAATCTTATAATGAGAAGCAGAGAGCTTGTGTTTATTGTGATCATCAATGAGCTGAGCTGAATTGCGGTTGTCCCTTGTAAAAAGATGAAATCGTGTTCCAATCCTGGATGGGTTCTGTGGCATCTGAACCTAGCACAACGGATGACGTTGAAAGCAACCATACTTTCCATAACAGACTTCCCTCTTTGACCAGAAAAGCCATGCTAAAAAAGCGAAAAAGTTATAAAATAATGATAAAGAAATAGTAGAAGGCTAAAGCTTCATCAGAGTACTTGTCCAAACGTGACCTATTACGCATTTTGAACTCAACTTTACTGTGTAGTTAGTCTGCTATACAGACTAACTACTCTTCAGGAGCGTTGCGTGACGACACTAAAAACGGCTGTGTGGTGAAAGAGAATGATATTTTCAGACCGACGGAAAGATAAGCTTCTCGATCCAGCTCTGAAGGTAATTTTAATTGATATTATTATAACATGTCGGTCTGTGTTCAGCTCAATATTGAGATTTAGTACTCCATGGAAAAGAAGGCGGAGGGGGGGAGGGGGGACGGGGTGGGTTTGCATATTGGTGTCTCTTTTTTTAAGTGTAACCAACATTAATCTTCTCCTAACAATATCCATACATACATTAACAAGTCGAAACTGAAAGGGAAGTGCTTTAGTCTTTCAAGAAATTCTCTTAAATCATTCGAACGAAACTGATGTAAGAAGTCTGGGGGGCCGCCGGGGTAAGAAGATAAGTCGAGAGAATTTGTTTATGGATATGAAGGCTTAAAGGGTCAACATTCCTTCAAGCGGCTGTCTGGGCTGTCACTGTTTTAATCCTTAATATTTAGACTGAGCTAATAAAACCTTTCTGGATCCCGCTAACTCGAAGCAATTTTCATTTCCCTTCCGTATCAGTTCTACTCAATTTTATACTCGATAACTCGAACTTTTTTCTATTTCCCTTAGCTTGAAGGTTCGAATTGAAGGAGTCGACTGTATCCCCTTAATCTTTCTAAAACCGGACATCAAAATCCTCTACATGACTGTAGATGTTTTTAGTATTTACCATCAGTTTTTTACTAAAAAGCTGTCGAGATTATAAGAAAAAGCCCTTTGCATGGATGTTCATTCGCCGTTTAACGGCAGAATAAGTTCGAAGTAACGGGGGGATGAAATTGATGCTAGCTAACATGAAATAACTGTCAAATTGATGGGGCTGCAAATGAAACATTCAATGAACTTACCGTCTGTAAGTACAAGTAAAGCTGGCAAAATAATAATAGATCCCTTGACTTGCATTGTCCGTGTCTTGAAATGTTTGGTAATGGCTCTATTGCAATCTTTCGTAATGCTTTAGCACTTTCGTACCAAGTGCGTGAAGCTAATTAATTATCGACTGATTGCACTTAATAAGTAATAATAAATATATCACTAGTCACCATAATAGGGACGGACCATTTATTTAGACATCTTACGGGGAGTGGGTGAAGTAAAAAAAAAAATATTCATGCATGCCAATTAACAGTAAAATTCATACAATGGCCTAAACAAATTCATACAATTGAAATGTTACAAAAAAATTCATGAAGTTATGAATACATGAGAATCATAAAATATGTGAACTGCAGAGTGAAGAATTATATGAAGGAAGATCATCAAGCAGCTCAAAAAACCCCCCCCCCCCCCGTAACTTTTCAAATGGGCTGTCCCTTATTGTAACAGAGAGGGGAGGGGAGAGTGGGGAGGTGTTATAACGGCCACTGAGGTTAACATGAGTTAAAACCAACCGAATTACTTCAGCTGGCCTTTTTAGTTGCCTTTTTGAGCGGAACCCTGGGAACCAGGTTGACAAAGGTTTTCCTTCTTTTCTTTCTAGAGCGTAGATTATGCATCGTATGCATCGTAGTGCATGGAGAACCATAAACTTTGCCTTTCATTCTTGCATTTAGAGGTCTAGACTGCAAAACAGTACTCGAATCTGTTCATTGCATCGACCGTTTTCCTTTTTGCAGTTTTAAAGCGATAACGGGAGGTGGTAGGCCTACACGACAAAATCCTCACCAAAATGCTGCTCATTCAGGATTTTGCCCTTTGATGCAAGAGCATTTTCTTTGACCTCAGTTTTTTGAAGCGTGAAGCTTCTTATTACGGCTGAATAAGGGTTCTAGGTTTCTTCAAAGTGCCTTCTAGATCTGAAAAACTAATTGATTTTCTTTACGTTTTCCTTGAATGTAATGTTTTTCTGCAATGTTGTATCACGCTCGGTCCAGCTTGTGAGTTTTCTTTGCGGGATGTTAAATTATCACGGAAAAAGATTTACAGATTCAAAATCATAAGAATGAAGAGCAGCTTAAACTGAAGCTGCTTCAACTATGGAGAAATGCATTGCGACCGCTCAGTAGACTCTCCTCAGTGTTTTTCTATTAAATGTGTGTGGTAATCTAAGCTTTTGAATAATTATGCTTTAATAATAGTGTTTGGATTGTTTTGTTATTCCCACTTTGTGCTCAGCTTCCTTTTCTCTCAAGGGCAAGAGCCGTTAATTATGTGCACTTTTCGCAAGTAAAATAGCAGATTACAGTGAATAAACTTTCGTTTCAATCTACAGATTGTTGGAACTGTGACAAGTGCCCCTGGAGTTAGCCTGTTCCAGGCTTCGAGATAGTCCGCTGAATTGAGGAAGCGCAAACACGAAAATGAAACGGGAGGAATCTTTTTCCCGCCTCGTCATCTTTTCGCCCGCCTTTTTCTTTGGCGTTTTCCCCACTATCTGAGAGCCTGAGACAGGCTACCCTGGAGTGAACCTGGGAGCTGCGATAGCTGTCAAGAAAGCAAAACGCTAAGAATAAAATCATAGCCGACACTGAGAATTATTACTACTATCTAACCGATAATCATTGTTTCTTAAGATGATTAAAACTCCTTTGCTATGAATATCTCCTGTCTTCAACATGTTACATTTAGCGCGAATTTTTTAGGTCAAACGAACCGGCGCAGAGTATACATAAAAGCCTACAAAGGAAGCTCTTATATTATTACGAAATAAACCAGTGGAAAGTCAGTTGTTTTCTAAATTTAATAACAGTGCGAGTCTTTAACTTCCTATTTGAAAAATTTAAGTTTCAATCACAAGTTCTACACTCTTTTTTTTTTTATAAGAATATATTTTATAAGAATATCGAGGCTGAAATTTGCGAAATATTAAGAATATTTTAAGAATAAAGCCAAGGCTGAGATTTTGAAAAGGATAGATATAATTTTGTGTGTTGAAACATCTGTAAATACAATACAAATGTTTTTAACTTCACCGTATAAAATTATTCCTTTCTCTGAACGGCGAAACTACAGTAGTCTCCTTCGCAGCCGTTATTAGGGTCGTCACTCGTCACGCAACGCCCCACGAGTGACGACCCTAATAACGGCTGCGAAGGAGACTACGAAACTAGCTAACAAAACGAAAAAACCTGCACTAGCTATAGCAAAATGTTCAACGCTAATGTCAGTTCGATGAACGGTACATGTAATATATATAGATATACCCCAATAAATTCTAAAACGGAAATGTCATAAGCTTTAATTTAAGAATAATTCAAGAATATTTTCAGCCTAAAATCGGCAGAAAAATAAGAATATTCAGCCTGGGCCGGAAAAACAATATTCTTATAAAAAAAAAAGAGTGTATTCGATAATAAACAACTCAGTCTGGTTTAGCCGTCGGACGCCACGTTGAACTTGAAACTGTTGCCTTGGTAACATGTCAAGTGAACTTGAATCAGAACAGCAATTGGTTATTGGTTTGTTTTGGTCAAGGGTTATCAAACTTGATAACCATCCCGGACTGACTAAGCATTCTCTAAACACTGTTGTGACAAAAGATACTTTTTTAAATTTCTTTTTTATACTATATCGTGATTTTGTGTTCCTTAAATCTTCTATTATTTATGATTATAGAGTTCCACAAATTCGTTCCTTTACACTAGCCGTAGTTTGTTCTGTAAAACAGACAAAACGGCTATGTCAGGCAAAACATCATTCAGCTGAATTTTTTAGCAAATAAGTCGCGCCGCGAACTATCAGGAATTAGGCAAAAAAGAAAAAACCTTTTGCGCCCAGGGAACCGTATCCGTGAGAATTAAACTTCATGGACATAATGGAAACAACACTGCAAAACTAAGCCCACCAAGACAAAGCGTAGCAGAAAATTATAACCCGGGATTAAATTGTTTGTTATGAACATCGCTACCGGTTTTTTATCTCATGCAATGAAGTTCTTCGATGAAGCCAATCAAGTTCACTGTTAAAGCGTTAATTCCCTGCGGACGTGGGAGTCACCAATCGGCAACCCAGTTCAGATTATGATTGATTTCTCGCATGGAAATTAGGTTGCTTGTTTGTGTGACCAGGGGTCCGTCTCGAGAGCCTTATCAAACCGTAAGCACGGTATATTTCATATTAGGTCTACTTGGTATTTTGAGAACGGACCTCCGGAACCAGGGTACTTCCAGTACGAGCGCTTGTGAGTTAACTGTGTAATTTGTTCTAAAACTGTAAGGTCTTCACCTTTCATGAGACTTTTCTGATCTTTTCTGGAGCTAATTCAAGCGCGAAATTTCTTTAGGTCCAAAGTGCACTTCCAAGATCTTGAAGACTGCGGTGACTGCTCTACGTTTTTTTTCCTGCTCAAATCAGCAGACGTTAGTGCGGCAGAAACAAGTCCAATTATCAATCAGACTTTTTTAACGATGTTCGTCGAAGCTGTCGGGCTGTTCGTTTTCCTCGTTGCCGTTTATGTGGCGTCCACAATTTGGCAAAACCGCCATCTTCCCCCGGGACCGTTTCCGCTTCCAGTGCTGGGAAACTTGCTATCGATTAGCCTAGATCAGCCATATCGTGATTTTGCGAACTTGACGCGGACGTACGGGAAGCTTTTCCGTGTGCAGATGGGAAGCACAAAAGTGATTGTCATCAACAGCTACGAAATCGCCAAAGAAGCGCTTGTGACAAAAGCAAAAGATTTCGCTGGGCGACCTCCTCATTTCTTTGGAGCAATTTTTGGCCGAGATAACACTGACATTGCATTTCAAACTTACTCTCCTAGATGGAAATTGCAACACAAAATCGCCATGACAGCGATGCGCATGACCGAAGACAAAGCTAATATCCCTTTCTATATTGAAGAGCTGAAAGAGGCGTTTTGTTCGCAGGATGGAAAGCCATTCAACCCTCGAGATTCTGTTTGCAAATCCATAGGAGGCTGTCTTTCATCGTGGATTTTTGGCGATGATAAATGCAATGACTGGGAATTAGACGCGCTATTGCAAGCTACACACGTATTCAATCTCTCAATCGGGGCAGCTAATATCATAAATACATTTCCAGTTTTCAAGTACATCCCTTTCCGAAGCATCGAGAATGCAAAGCATTCTGCAAAAATTCGAGATCAAATTTTCGTGAGGAAATTTCAAGAACAAGTTTCTTCTTCCAAGACCAAAAATTATAGCTCCATGGTTGAAGCTATGTACAAGGAATTCAAAGAAATTGGCGGCGATGGACTCACAGAAAATAATTTAATTTCAAGGTAAGCGCAACTAAAGTTCTATAGTCAGAAGATATTACGAGCGCGACTTAAACAAACAAATATATAACTTTTGTCTGGTGTTTGAGTAAATCACGAATTCACCAGGCTTCCACTATGACGTTCTTCTTAGGGCTTTGTCACGCTCCCCTTCCCTTCGTCCGTTGGGAGGATAGCGTGACGAGCCAAGGCTACAAATTCACCGGAAGTTGAATACTTTTGCGAGAGCAGTGGGGACTGGGTCTGGAAACTAGCGTTCACCCAGATTCTCGGCCGATAGGCCACTTGCACTAAGAGATCACGTGACCAATCCTTCCTCTAAACAATGAGTTGGAATCTTGCTGATGCCAAAAATCGACAGAGCGCACAAAAATTATCTTACACCCGAAATTTGAGATGGAACGCATTTAAAGGGAAATATTTTATGGCAGTTTGATTTTTCAACAAAGTAGTATGATTTGTATTGGCCGCAATGTTGGAGGGCCTACTCTTGCCCTCCAACATGGCGGCCAAAACTACTTTTTGCTTGTATCTTGTTAAACCTTTGATAGTTACGCTCAGATGTGCTGTAAACGTTACCACATCATCGTTTCAACATTTTCCTCGACGCTTAAGTGCAAAATTTGTGTTCAGAAAGAGGTAATTCATAATTTTAAGAATCACATTTTGGTTACGTGACCATCTACGAACTTATTCATTTTAAGAAAATGATGCAGGTTTGAAAAACCAAATCACTATTATTTTGTTTAACTTTCATTTTCATAAAAATGATGTCATATGAACTCTTAGTGCAAATGGCCTATTCCCCGCTGGATATAGCTTGCACAACTGGCGATTCGTTTAGCCACAGGCATCCCAAGCTCATTAAGCGAGCGCTAGCTAAAAATGAAAGCATTCGGTAACAGTAAAGATTCGAAAAAATTCCCCATATCTTAGCTTGTTGTAAAAAAAACAAATAAAATACACTTACTTGTCCATGTGTATTTCTGAGGCGATTTCAGCGCTGGTGGTTTTGCCATTCTGTCCACACCTGTCCTTTATTGTCCTTAACCTTCATTAACAGGACAATGAGGGCTAAGACAGAATGGCAAAACCAGCCCAAATCGCCTCAGAAATACACATGGACATAAAATACAGCACAAGTAATTGTATTTACAGTTTGGTCTTCTTTCAGTTTGTTTTGGTAATATTCGTAAATCAGTTTGAGCATAAGATGCCTGACTTAAAAGAAAAAGGGAAAAAAAGAAATAAAATAAAATGAAAAGGAAAGAAAAGAACCGCGCTAAGGTCCGAATACTTTTAAAAAGAAAGACTTAACTTACTTGCCAATTAAAAAATTTGAGTCGGATATGAAATAAGATAACATTGTCCAGCGAGATCAGTTGAAGTTCGATTCCCTAACCGTTTCTAGCGTGTGTAGATTTTCGGCTGCAGGCAGTAGGACGGTTTTTTTCATTGCAAATCCATATAAATAAACTTCAGCAGCATACACTTTCAAAAAATTTGCAAAAACGTTTCTCAATGCAACGTTACGCTAATTTTCTGATAATAAATGGGGTCAAATCCAAGGGAAATGGGACTAAGTTCGAATTAGCGGAGAGTTCGAGAGTTACCAGGGCTCTGCCATGTCAAGTGCAGCAAAAACTCAAGGGGTGGGTTGGGACTCGAAACACCCCCATCCCACTTTTTGCGTGGTGGAGGTATAACCCTTTACCTCCGAGAGTTTCAAGTTCAAATCGTTGATTAAGACTATTACTCTCTTATTTTATTTATTTATTTATTTATTTTTTTTGGTAGCGCCTCTGACTTGTTCTCTGCCGGAACGGAGACTCCTTCAACTCAAATTACCTGGGGTCTGTTTTATGTCATGAAGTACCCGGATGCGCAGGCCAGGCTGCATCGCGAGTTGGACAATGTGGTTGGTGCCGAACGATTGCCAGAGTTATCAGACAGGCCAAACTTGCCTTATTTGGACGCGTTCTTAAATGAGATGGTACGCATTGTAAGCGAGACCCCTCTGGCGATTCCACACTTGACCATGCGGGACACGTCCCTTGCAGGCTTTTATATCCCGCGGGATACGTCCGTGATTGTTAATCTCTGGGCTATTCATCACGACCTCGAATACTGGAAAGATCCGTTCACTTTTCGGCCTGATCGTTTCTTGGACAAGGAAGGACGGCTTGGTGTACATGGAATTTTACCTTTCTCAGCCGGTATACGCACGTGCCCTGGAGAAAGGTTTGGCAGAAAAGCAGTTTTCTTGTGTCTTTCACGATTGCTTCACAGGTTTAAGTTTGAATGTCCAGAAGGTGAAGAATTACCTGCCGAAGAAGATAGTGATCTTGGAATTCTGCGTAATTGTAAACCGTTTAAAATCCGTGCTATTACAAGAAATTAAAAGGAATAGGCCATTTGCACTAAGAGATCATGTGACATCGTTTATATAAAAATGAAAGTCAAATGATTTTGCCCCCGAAAACCGATTAGTGGGTCATATCTTAAACAAATAATAGTGATTTAGTTTTTCAAACCTGCACCATTTTCTTAAAATGGGTAAATCCCTAAATGATCACGTGACCAAAATGTGATCTTTAAAATTACGAATTCCCTCTTTCTGAACACAAGTTTTGCACTTCAACTTCAAGGAAATTGTTGAAAAGATGATGTGGTAACGTTTACAGTACATATGAGCATAACCGATCAAAAGTTTAACAAGATATAAGCAAAAAGTAGTTTTGGCCGCTCTTCAACATGGTAGCGTGCGTTGCAGCCGGACATGGCGGCCAATACAAATCATACTACTTTGTTGAAAAATCAAAGTGCCATAAAATATCTCCCTTAAATGCGATTCCTCTCAAATTTCGGGTGTAAGATAATTTTTACGCGCTCTGTCAATTTTTGGTATCAGCAAGATTCCAACTCATTGTTTAAAGGAAGCACTGGTCACGTGACCTCTTAGTGCAAGTGGCCTATTACTACTTCAACTGAAATTCTCCGGAGTCTGTTTTCTGCCATAAAGTACCCGGATACGCAGGCCAGGTTGCATCGCGAGTTGGACAAAGTGGTTGGTGCCGAACTATTGCCAGAGTTATTAGGCCAAACTTGCCTTGTTTGGACGCGTTCTTAACTGAGATGGTACGCATTGTAAGCGACACCCCCCAGGCGATACCTCACCCGACCCCGCGGGACACGACCGTTGCGGGCTTTTTCATCCTGCGGGATGTTACTGTGTTTGTTAATCTCTGGGCTATTCATCACGACATTGAATACTGGGTAGAACCTTTCACTTTTCGGCCGGAGCGTTTCTTGAACGAAGACAGACAACTTTGAGTAGATGGAATGTTGCCTCAGCTGGAATACGCATGTTCCCTGGAGAAAAGTTTGGCAAAAAAACAGTTTTCTTATTTGTAGCACGATTGTTTCACAGGTTTAAATTTGAGTGTCAAGAAGGTGAAGAAATACCTGCCGAAGAAGATAGTGATCTTGGAATTCTGCGTAATTGTAAACCGTTTAAAATTTGTGCCGTCACGAGAAATTAATAGTATATTATTTTCCTTATACTGGAACAAGATGAAGAATTTCTCGCCCATTTTCGTTTCTTTTTTGGGGACGAAATTTGAAATGTTATTTTTGTCCAATACGGTGGTTTGTTCCATATACGACAAATATAAGCGAATGTACGGCGTCATTCATGTACCTCAAGCAAGACGTTTCAATACGTAGATGATTAATTAATTGATTAATTAAAAATTGGGGATTTCTATAGTAAGTAGTCTTAATGATTTGTTAAAAGCCAGTGAGTCCAGTAGCCTGCATAATAGGCGCTTTATGAGCCAAGCGAGGCAGATGCATAAAGCGCCTGTTATGCCTGTCGAGCAGAAAGCAGTCTAGTGAAGATTCAGAATATCTTATACAGTGAAACCTGTATTAAGCGGACACCCTTGGGGAATGCTGTAGTGTCCGCTTAATCCAGGGTGTCCGCCTAATACCGGTTTCGATAGATAACGTCATATGAGGTGTCAAATGCCATTCGATCAAATGAACAGTGGACTATGACGATATACGTATACGTTTGCATTAACTTCTTTATTAAAGAGGACCAATTGATCATAGTACCATAAACATAGATTGCAACTCAAATTTGAAGAACTCAGATGAGTGAAACAAGCTCTATAGAAACTAAACGAAATAGAATACAATAGTGTACTGTGAAACTAATCAAATAAGTTCGTCAAGTCACGCTTTCTACTGTAAAAATCGAAAAATTTGTGGGTGGAAATCTTTCGCATTTCCGGTGTCTGGCATGTTGGGTGGTGGAATTTAATTACAAGTGTCCGTTTAATACAGTTTGGCAACAATAGAAATGACCATTTCAGGTACTTTTTAGGTGTCCGTGTCCGCTTAATGGAGGTGTCCGCTTAATAAAGGTTTCATTAGTAAATAAGGGAAATAAATTTGGGGACTTCGGCTGCTGTCCGCTTAATAGAGGGTGTCCGCTTAATACAGGTTTCACTGTAATTAAATAGCAATCAAAGGTAACCAGGTGTCTGATTAGCGTGTTGAAGCATTTCGTCTTCGTGATTTAACGTTATTTCGGAAACTTTATCCCTATATATCCCCTTACACGTCAGCTCTGCTCATCCCGATCCCACGGGTTATGATCCCAGATCCCGGTAGCCTGCGAGCAAGCTCTCCATTTGGGGCTATAACTGCAGTTTAACTGCAAATATTGGACTTAACAGGGATGAAATTGACCCTAGCTTATATGAAATAACTGTCAAATTGATGCGGCTGCAACTGAAAACTGCAAAATGAACTTACCGTCTGTAAGTACAAGTAACGTTGGCAGAATAATAGTAGATCCCTTGACTTGCATTGTCCGTGCCTTGAAATGTTTGGACTTGTTTGGTAATGGTTCTTTTGCAATCTTTCCTAATGCTTTAGCGCTTTCGTACCAAGCGCCTGAAGCGACAATGAAACTAATTAATCATCATTGCACATAATAAGTAGTCAATAAATTTATCACCAGTCACCATTAGGGACGGACCGTTAGGTGAAGTACAAAAACAAAATATTCGTGTAGTGAAAAAAATTCATGCACGCCAACAAGAAAGGATAAAGCTTTATCCTCTCTTGACGCCAATTAACCCTAAAATTCATACAAGGGCCTAAACAAATTCATACAAGGGAAATGTTAACGAAAAACTACATGATGTTCTGAATATATGAAAATCATATATGTAAACTCCGGAGGGAAGAATTATATGAAGCAAGATCATCGTGCGTCTCTTAAATACCCCCCTCGGAACTTTTCTAACGGTCTGTCCCTTATTGTAACAGAGAGGGGAGGGGAGACTTGGGTGGTGTTATAAGAAGAATACTGCAATGCTGATAGTATTACGTGAAAATTAACTCTGCAAGACATCAACACGACACCGAAAGAACTGAAAACAGAGCGGGATTGTAGGCATAGACGGCTGTTTCGCCCTTTTTGGGGCTCGTCAGTATGGCGCAACAACCAGAGAAAAACTCTGATGAAAAATATCCGCGCACTCTGATTTTAAACTCTCAACACCCACAGAATCACGCCATACCACGTGTCTCCTGGAGGGCAAGAGTCCAAGTGTCAAGTTGATGTCTCGCAGAGAAAATAAAGAATTGGCCAAAACCAACCTCAAAAACATGGTCAGATTTTTGCATAGTTCTGACACTAATCATCAACTTGACACTTGGACTCTTGCCCTCCAGGAACCTCTTGTTTTGAAAGTCTATAATCAAGTCAAAGTTTAAAATTTACCAACGTCGCCGAGTTACAAGGCCGATTCGATTTCATTGACTAAGAGTTCTTCCGTAGCGTGCGCTCATTTCCCACTACCATGCTAGTAAATAAGGGGCTTTAAAAATTAAACGGCGTACGTATTTAAAATTCAAAATGGCCGCCGGAAAACAAAGAACGCATATATATCTTTTGTCTCGAGATTGCTTGTTAAGGTCGTCTTTTATTCATTTTTAAACCAATGGGTTAGTTTTAAAGATGCCAATATGCGAATATCTCTTAAGAAACAATTTCTGGGATTAATGTGCGAAAAAATGGCGAGAAAAATCTCCTGGTTCGTTATACCCAGTCAGGCAACTCTTATGATGGGAAAGCGTTACTAGTTTACTTTATTACCACCTGTATTTGATCAGGGTTGAGTTATAATTGTATGCTTTCCTTTGTTATCTCGGTTTTGGTCCGGTGAGTTTCAGTTACATTAGAGAATATTATTTTGGGATTTCAGCTTAGCAGAAAACTTGTAAAAACATAGTGTGCATCGTAGGCGTGAGCGTCAGGCGGTGAAAGAGTATGTTGTCGTGAAGTTTTCGACAAGTAGCTTTTTCTCGCAAGAGGATCGGTCTGCTTATTGCGTCTTTCTCTTTGGCTATTGTTGGAGACATAGTCCAAATAATTCGGACTTTTTTTAACGATGTTCGTCGAAGCTGTCGGGCTGTTCTTTTTCCTCGCGGCCATTTATGTGGCGTCCACTATTTGGCAAAACCGCCATCTTCCCCCGGGACCGTTTCCGCTTCCAGTGCTGGGAAACTTGCTGTCGATTAGCCTTGATCAGCCATATCGTGATTTCGCGAACATGGCGCGGACGTACGGGAAGCTTTTCCGTGTGCAGATGGGAAGCACAAAAGTGATTGTCATCAACAGCTACGAAATCGCCAAAGAAGCGCTTGTGACAAAAGCAAAAGATTTCGCTGGGCGACCTCCTCATTTCTTTGGAGCAATTTTTGGCCGAGATAACACTGACATTGCATTTCAATCTTACTCTCCTCGATGGAAATTGCAACACAAAATCGCCATGACAGCGATGCGCATGACTGAGGACAAAGTTAATATCCCTTCCTATATTGAAGAGCTGTGTGGGGCGTTTTGTTTGCACGATGGAAAGCCATTCAACCCTCGAGATTCTATTTACAAATCCATAGGAGGCTGTGTTTCATCGTTGATTTTTGGCGATTATAAATGCAATGACTGGGAATTAAACGCCCTATTACAAGCTATCCATGTGTTTAATCTCTCAATCGGGGCAGCTAATTTCATTAATACATTTCCAGTTTTCAAGTACATCCCTTTCCACAGCATCGAGAATGCAAAGGATTCTGCAAAAATTCGAGATCAAATTTTCTTGAGGAAATTTCAAGAACAAGCTTCTACTTCGAACACGAAAAATTTTAGCTCGGTGATTGAAGCTATGTACAAGGAATTCAGAGAAATTGGCTGCGATGGACTCACAGAAAATAATTTAATTTCAAGGTAAGCGCAACTCAAGTCCTATAGTCAGAATATATTACCAGGGCGACTCAAAAAATTTTTTCGGCTTTTGAGTAAACACTAATTCTTGGTTCGCAACCACGTGACAAGGCGGTCATGTTTGTGGTCACTACAGGACAATTTTTTCTCAAAGAATTTACATGAAAATAAAGTTTAGTTCCCAGAGGAGAGAAATGCTCTTGTTCTTGACCGCCAACGTGGCCGCCATTAACAGTGAGACGCGCTATATCTCGACGATCTCACGAAAAAATAGGGGACTGTGACAGTCTAACCGGCAATAGACCTCTTTAGCTTGTATGTTTTGTTTTCCTAATAGAGCTCCTAGGGGAGCTTGACCCTTTGTCTTTTTATAAGTTATCCGTACACATGCACGTGACGAAGACGAAATTTAAAAGAAACACTTCTCTAGAGTCTTATCACATGACCTGTATTGGGGAAACAAAACATACAAGCTAAAGAGGTCTATTCACTTGCCTCCCACGCAGACATTCTTATGACTTCGTCACGCGTTCCTTGAGGAGGATTGCGAGGTGGGAAAAAGAACCGGGAGTAAAATATTTTGGGCGCATGAAAGCAGTGGGAACTAAGACGGGTTTAGATTCCCGACCCAATTGCCCGATACCCTAACTAAGCAGAGTATCGACTCCCCGCTGGTTATAGCCTGCGCAGCTGGTGGTTTGTTTTGCGAGAGGAAAAAACGGGAAAACGACGAGGGCTTTTTTGCACGCTCGGAAAAAAGTAAAAATGACGCCAGCTGGGCTACCCAAGAGAAGCTCACTCAATCGGGTAGAGAGAAGCGACGACCGGAAAGACGTCTACGTTTGCGGGCTAGAGCTGCGCAGGCTACACTGGTTGGTCCTGATTCGTCGGTCCATTATATTTTCCCATGATATACAATACTCTACAGTATATTCGCTAACAGTTTGGTCCTCTTTTGTTTCTTTTGGTTACTCGAATTTGCAACAGAATTTTAGCTGAGCGAAAACAAAATGTCCCACCAAAAAAAGGGTAAAAAAAAAAAAAAAAGAAAGAAAAAGAAAGAAAAGCGCGAAGGTCCAAATATTTTTAAAAACAACGACTTAACTTACTTAACAATTAAAAAAACTGAGTCAGTGATGAACTAGCCACACATTCGTCAAAACTCAAATTGTCCATCGAAATCAGTTTAAGTTCTTTCCGATCTTTGCACTTTGTGGCGTGTGTTCTTTCTCGGCTGCAGCCGGTACGGCAGTTTTCATACTCAGTAAGTAGACATTGCAAATCCATACAAATATTAAAAATTCAGGAAAAACTTTAAGAAAAATTACAGTAATCATTGAAGAACGTTTCTCAATAAAAGTTACGCTAATTTTCTGATAATGAATTGCGTCGAATCCAAGAGAAATGGGGCTTAGTTTGAGTTAGCGGTGAGTTCGAGTTACCGGGGGTTCTACCATGTCTACTGTAGCAAAAACCAAGGGATCGGTGCGGGGTTCTAAACACCCCTATCCCACCTATTCCAAGGTGGGGGTATGAATCTCTACCTCCGAGAGTTTATAGACTTTAAATTAATTAAGAATGACTATCTCATTTTCTTGTAGCGCCTCTGACTTGTTCTCTGCCGGAACGGAGACCCCTTCAACTGAAATTCTCTGGAGTCTGTTTTATGCCATAAAGTACTCGGATGTGCAGGCCAGGTTGCATCGCGAGTTGGACGATGTGATTGGTCTCGAACGATTGCCAGAGTTATCAGACAGGCCAAACTTGCCTTATTTGGACGCGTTCTTAACTGAGATGGTACGCATTGTAAGCGAGACCCCCCTGGCGATTCCTCACTCGACCACGCGGGACACGACCCTTGCGGGATTTTTCATCCCGCGGGATGTTACTGTGTTTGTTAATCTCTGGGCTATTCATCACGACACTGAATACTGGGTTGAACCGTTCACTTTTCGACCGGAGCGTTTCTTGAACGAAGATAAACAACTTCGAGTAGATGGAATGTTGCCCTTCTCAGCTGGAATACGCACGTGCCCTGGAGAAAAGTTTGGCAAGAAAGTAGTTTTCTTATTTGTAGCAAGATTGTTTCACAGGTTTAGATTTGAGTGTCCGAAAGGTGAAGAATTACCAGCCGAAGAAGATAGTGATCTTGGAATTCTGCGTAATTGTAAACCGTTTAAAATCTGTGCCGTCGCGAGAAATTAATAATATATTTCTTTATATTGAGACCAGATGGAGAATTTCTCGCCCATTTTCTTTCCTTTTTGGAGGGATGGAATTTGACCTGTTATTCTTTCTCCAATACGGTGGATTGTTCCACATTGGACAAGCGAAATATCAAACCTGAGATAAGGGAGGGCCGGTCTCCAAAACAACTTTTTCGGCCCTTCGGGCCTCAGTTTGGTCTAAAAATAAGGGGGTTGAGGGAGGGGGTGGGTCGCTCCTATGGGTCTGCCACTGGGTGTAAAAAAGGGACGTTAGAGTCACGTTTACGGCAAACGCAGACTTGAATTTGTACCACGTGATTAAGTTTCCCTCTTCCTTTACCGTTAATTACTTCTACCAAAAAGATAGATTTGACGGTAAATTGAACCCACCGTAATGTATTTCTTCTATTGAGTACACAAGATCGATCTCAAATTTCAGTAGCAACAACTGCAACAAGAACAGAAGGTTGTTGGCCTGTGGTATGGCTAATTGCGTAGGCCACACACCGTGAGAGCTAGTTGTCTCTTCTTCGCGATTCATCGTCACAATCACCCTCAATTTGCCTTGTAGCTCAGTCGGCAGAGCAACGGTAAATTCCCTGCCACCTCATGGGTTCCGTTCCTAGCGCGACCACTCTTTAGGACGGACACATTAAATTCTGCAAGCAGAATACTGCAATGCTGATCATAATACGTGAAAATTAGGATGACGGTTTTAGAATTTTCCATTGTTTTTAACCTCTTTTTAGCGAATATTTGATACAATGGGGTGATCTTGGTCTTCGCTGTCTGTACTACGCCACTTAGAGTATGGAAGAACGTTTAGAAACTAAATGGACGATTTTCATATACTATACCTTTATGAATTGAACGCCGATATGTACGATCAAGAAGCTCACAAGATAAAGTTACTGTGAAAGCTACTGATGTTTTTTGTCCTTTAGTGCATTATTAATTAAAAATGTTAATGCTTTATTAATTTTCTTAATTTTCCCTTTTTTTAACCTTTTTGTTAATAAGCATTTGAAAGAAAGATTGACTGAAGACTTGATACATCTGTCCAACAGTAGCACTCATTACAGCTCAAAATGCTACCAGTTTGATTCATGGCAGTTCATCGAGCTGGATTGCCTGAAATTGTTGTCTTTCTTTAAAAAAAGAACGAGGTTTTGCGATGTTGAGCAACCATTCAGATTATTAGTAAACAATTATTGGATGAGGTTTTTATGATATCAGGAATTATAGAGGTCGAAGTAGGTGTTATCAGTCGAGCCGAAGGCCGAGGTTGATGACAACTAACTGGCATCTTAGTTGTTTACGAAATCGTAAACAACGATAAGTGTTTATAGTTCGACAGCTAGGGGAGTTGTATGGCTCGCTTAAGGAAAACAAACAAAACTTGTATAATATTAATCGCTGATTAATAAGCATCACAAAAATGCATGATAGCAAGGATTGAGCGGTAGCTTTCACTTTGTAAATCGATTTTTAAATTTGCCCATCATACCCTACTCTTGGTCGCCACCTTGGATTTATAAACAAACCTTCGGTTTCCTCTTAAAACACACGATTCTTGCTATAAAAGGTCGCCCGCGCAGCGAAGCACCATGGGTAAGAAAATTTGGTAAACCTATGTATCCGGGAAATTTTGGTAGTCACGCGACCTTACGTCCACCCGACCTCCTGTCCATCCGCACCACAGGCACACCAATATAAACAGGTATGGAAGGAAATCGCATGGCCGCCCGGACTTTTAGAGAGAGAGAAAAAAAAAAACAAAGTCGTATCTTTTTCGACGTTATTTTTGATGTTCACACTTACGTGGAAACCTGGAAGAGCTAGAGCGAGTGATTGAAAGCAAAGGAGACGAATTTCAATGGAAGAAAAACATGAAAATTTCATAGCGGCGGTGAGAAAATGAGAAATGCTAGCCGCCAGCAAGGTGAAATTGAGCGGCAGTGAAAAACAAAACAGGAAAACAGGAAACAAAATCTCTGGTAAGCACATACGACAATTCCTCCATAAAAACTAGGGGTACCTTCCGGCAAGTGCCAAGGAGGCGAATTCGTTTATCTTTCGTGGAATGTGCCTATCCAGATCTTCCTGATTTGTTACATAATTTTAGAGGTTCACAATGGATTCCGCCATAGAAAAGGATGGCACTCAACTTTAGGAAAAAAACTTGGTACATCATCTAGGCTTCCCGTTCTATTAAAAAATGACAACATGGCTTGAAGCTCCGTTGGTAAATTGGAGCAAGTCAGCACAGGGTGTCCGCCTAATACAGGTTTCGATAGATAACGTCATATGAGGTGTCAAATGCCATTGAAATGAACAGTGGAAACGTTTAGGATACTCTCAGAGACTATGACGATATACGTTTGCACTATGTAATTTCTTTTTTTAAAGTGGACCAATTGATCATAGTACCATAAACATGGATTGCAACTCAAAAATGAAGAAGTCAGATGAGTGCAACAAGCTCTATACAAACAAAACGAAATAGGAAACAATACTGTACTGTGAAACTATAAATCAAATAAGTTCGTCAAGTCACGTTTTTTAATGTAAAAATGGAACAATTTGTGGGTAGCAATTCGAGGCAATCTTTCGCATTTCCGGTGTCTGGGGTGTTGGGTGGTGGAATTTAATTACAAGCGTCCGTTTAATACAGGTTGGCAACAATAGAAATGACCATTTCAGGTACTTTTTAGGTGTCCGCGTCCGCTTAATAGAGGTGTCCGCTTAATAAAGGTTTCATTTGAAGTAAATAAGGGAAATAAATTTGGGGACTTTGGCTACTGTAATAGAGGGTATCCGCTTATACGGTGTCCGCTTAATACAGGTTTCACTGTATTTTACGGAAATTCAAAACTACAAACGTTAGAAAGTAAAATATAGTTCAAGTGAGGTCTTTGACCGCTAAAATTCAAAACTAAAATTAAATTCCGAGCTTTCGCCGATCAACGGCATTATCAAGGATAAGATAAATATTCTGCATGATAATATACATATAGAAAAAATTGGTGGAAGCAAAATGTGTGAAAAGCGCAAGAATGGGGCGGAATACATCAGAGGTATAAAAATATAAACTTTAGTAAAATACAAAGATCTAATGAGCGATTGGCACAGGACAGAGTCTATCGAAAGGCAAAATGATTCATAATGATGGTCTTTAAAACCGCAAATTCGTTGCTGATTCCTTATGGGAGTTTAGGGCTGTCTTCAATGCAAATCGAGATGCAAAAGGACACGCTGGTTGACAAAAATCTATCGAAAGGCAAAAATAACTTAACTTCTAAAAAACAAAAGGTCCTCAAATGCGTTGCATTCCTCACGGCAGGTGAGGACCGGCTCAATGTAAATCGAACTGTGAAAAACATCGGCACTGGTTCTGATAAACGTTTTAAATAATACAATCCCATTCCTTGATAACCTACCACATAATTTACAAAGGAAAAGATGACACTGAAAACCCTGGCTCTGTGTCGAGAAGCGAACACGCGATCCCAATGTAAATCGAGCTGCGAAGAACAAGCTGGTTCTGACAAAAATTGGAGCGTAAAACCCTATTCCTTAATGAGTTGCTGCTGACGTGACGCAATTTGTAAAGCGAACCAGAGCACTTATGGCCCTTTCAAATCTAGAAGTCGTTTAAAGCTTGCTCACATGTCAGGGGCTCTTGAACTGAAAGCGAACAGCTGCACACGGGATCACCCAATTGCGAACCACGAGTTGTAAATACAAGATCCGTGACGTCACTGCCCAAATATGGCCATGGGGTCTTACATCCAAAGATGGTCAAATATGCAAATTTTAGAGGGTTACGCAGAATTTGAGAGTTTTTGCCTACATTGCGCGGGATTATGAATCTGCCACCGAGGAAACCTCGCTTCTTAGCTCGGTTGTAGTGTGTAACTAGGAATTTTGACTGGACGTTTTAGTCGTGCAAAACGGCATTGTGTTCGTGCAAAACAACGGCAAGGAAAGACAGAAACGCGTGCTGCACAATTTTAAATTTATGCCACTAAAAATTGCTGAGAATGCGAGCGAGTGAAGATTATAATTTATTAATGTTGTGCATTTTGGTCGATCCATAGTCCTAGGATGACCAATCCATTCAAAAAGTTAGTTGAGGATAATTTCGGGATCGATGCGAAAAAAAAAATAAGGGGTGGCGAATGGTACCTCAAAAAACGTGGGTCTCGGAAAATTTTGGCAGGATCTCGAAATCTCGGAAGCGTTTTAGATAAGTCTCGAAGTCTCGTTTCTGCATGGTTTGTTTTTACTTTTTTTGACTCTCGAAACTTTTTACCAAAGAGTCGCGGGCTCGGATTTCTAACTAGGATCTCGGCGTCTCGGCGAGTCTGGGATTTTACCATTCGCCACCCCTAAAGTAGGGGATCATTTCGGGGTCGGGTGCATTTCGGGGGTTGCTACAGATCTTTTAGATCGGATATTAATCTCGATTTGACGGAGTTTGACAGATACTGATACTGTAAAGTGAGCTCATTGCGCATCGACTCAAGGACGTTAAGCCTTGACCCCGGGCGGACCTAGCCGTCTACCTTGATACTCCAGTCTGCAATCTCCAGTCATTCACAATCATGTTTGTCGAAATTCTCACTCTGTTAGCACTTTATTTGGCAGTATACATCGCTTCTAGGATATGGCAAAACCGCCATCTTCCACCGGGTCCTTTTCCTTTTCCAGTGCTGGGAAACTTGCTCTCGATAAGCCAAGATCAGCCTTATCGTGATTTCGCGAACATGGCGAAAAAGTACGGAAAACTTTTTCGAATCCAGATGGGCAGTAAGAAAGCTGTCGTCATTAACAGCTATGAAATTGCCAGAGAAGCCCTTTTGACGAAAGCAAAAGACTTCGCAGGGCGGCCGCCGCATTTTTTGGGAAGCATTTTCGGCCGGAACGGCTCCGCCATCGGGTTTGAATCTTTCTCCGAGCGATGGAAAATGCAACATAAGATGTTAACTGCAGCTTTGCGCTCAACGGAAGACAAAGCTAATATCTCGTTGCATATCGAAGAACTATGCCAGCTGTTTCTTTCCACGCACGCTAAACCATTTTGTCCAAGAGATAACGTTTACAAGTCATTTGGAAACTGTCTGTCATCCATGATCTTTGGACAAGAATGTAAACTTGATGACCGCGAGGTTGACACTCTAATCGACGCTGTACACGTCTTTCGAATGTCGTTAGGAGCAGCTAATGCAATTGATACGTTTCCCTTTTTAAAATACATTCCTTTTGAGATCATAAAACGAGCAAGGCGTGCAGGAGAAAATAGAGACGAAATTTTCAACAGAAGGTTCCGACAGCATGTCTCAACGTTCGAAAAGGGCAACATTCGGTCTACGATTGACGCTATGTTGAAAGACTTTTGGAGTAATGGTTGCAATTTATTGACGGAAGAGAATTTGATTTCAAGGTGAGGAGGTGCTATTATAACTGTGTTTAAATTGGGCCCGGTTCCTCGAAAGATGCTCAAGAGTTTAACTCAAGGTTAAATCAAATTTTAGTTTTCTTGTCTAGGACTACTTAACACAAAATGATATTCTCAAACAATCGGAGGGTAATTAAATACCCTCATGGATTAAAATTTTAATCTTCGACAAAGGCGACTAACGCTAATCCCATGGGCTTCTGCTTATCTTTATTCTGGAACCGGGACTTCGGGTCACAGATATCTACAGGGGGAAAAACATATTTAAGTTCCTTCAAGGTGAAAAAAAAAAACAAAAACAAAAACAACAAAAAAAAACGGTGAAGTTTATCTGAACAACGGTGTTTTTCGTTTTGCATTATTTACACTCCTTTTGGGGATATTCAAGTTTCTGTATTATGCAAATTAGGTAAGTTAAGACGTCATCAATCCCCCGAAGAAGGACGGCTTGTCCGTCCGAAGCCTCAAGTCGCTTTTGTCTTTGCTGTTTAATTTTACTATTGATGTGTAATTTTATTCACAAACTCTGTTTTTTCTTTTTTCGTGTGATTGTCGACGTTGATGAGGGCGCGCTGTTAGTGATAGGGTTCGGTGGCGTTGGAAACGGTGGGGGAAGATCCTAATTTTCCCCGCTCCCTAGCCCAGCCATATCACCTCCCACCTGGAAATTTGGGGGAGGGACCGAGGGTAGGACTCCCTCGGGTATGCGCGGCTAAACAGGGTATTGTTTTCAGGGTCTTGAGTCTTGAACCGGGTATATAATAGGATGGGGGAGTTTTTTGCACGTACTGGAAGCCTTTAAGAGTGAAGGTTGGCGATGAGCCAACACCATGCCCCCTCGGGTAATTTGTACTCTCCCCAGTCTTCCCTCACTATAAGAAACAAGAACGCTCTTAATAGCTTTAAGTCTCACTTGCTTGGAGATTAGATAAGAAATGAGGAAAGGATCAATTCTTCATGAAACACGATTTCCTCGCTAAGTGATTTACTCCCTTCTTTATCGACGGTCGAGTATTCTTCAGCATATTTACTTTCGTATTCGATGATTTGTAAGTACGCGTGTGTAAATACACGAAAATCAAGGGCCTCTATTCAAGAGAAATTAAATCAAAAACGTGATGAAGATGGCGCGTCATTTCAATCATACACCGCATGCTCATCACAAGACTCATCAGTGACTCATTTGCATACGGTCAAAGTTTACAACGCCCGACCAGTTAGCCTCACCATCGAAGCTTTGTTCATTAAGATTCTTCTTTTTTTGACCACTAAAGTAATCACTTGTTCCAAAGTAATCAACGCTTTCAAGCGATAGAAATCGTCAACCGATCCTTTCCGGAAAACTGCTCGACGTCTTTCGCATCAATATTTCCTAAGCTTTCTATGCATGGCTTTCGTCACGCCGCCAATCTTATCCCCAGGATCCACGGACTCCGCTAGGAACGCCTGGGACCATAACTCCTTTTTTGGCGCGCACACACGAAAACAAAAGGAAACACACGCTTTCATTTTAAGAGTCTCGCAGCTAAAGCAAGCGAGGCTAATATCGGCGGTTGAGAAGGGCCAGATGAATGAGGTGGAAAGGTAAAGCCTAAACAAGAGAATGTAGCGTCTCCTTCTCCACCTTCGTCACAAATTGATGTCACGCATCAATTATAATCGCAAAATACACGGGCTTTGGCGTGAATGCAGGCAGGAGACTGACCAGACCCCTGCTATCTACGGGGAAAACCCAGAGACGTCAGCGAATCATATACGCCTATTTCAATAAAGTTTGCTATCCTCGTGAAACATGATGCATGATCCATGATCCATGTTTCATGACATGCGGTGCATTATGTGAGCAAGCTCAGTTTGTCATATGCCCGCGCCGTACGCGGAAGACTTCCGTTAGAGTGCGATTTGGTTTCCACATTTTTGTGGGTATTAAGCAGAAGAAGCCTGTTTTCATCCTTGAATATCCAAATGGACTCAAAGGCACTACTTGCTTAGTTAAGATTGTTTCGGGGGATGTGGACGCAAAGAAGATGGGATGACCTTCTTGAAGCGTACCTTGAAATCCGACGACGGCGAGGCAACAAGAACGTCACAAAAACTATAGGTTTAACAAAGCAAAACAACCATTCTTCTTCTTCTTGTACATTTCATTACCATCACCGCAAGACTACGAGGTGAAAATGCCTAATTTCATGTTTTATAGAGGACGTAAACAAGAGACGACGAAATTTTCTTTCTCTTTCCTAACTTGAATAAGGTTCTTAGGAATTCAGCTCTTAGGAGAGTTCGCCTACATTGACAAACGAAGTTAGTTGGAATAATCGCGATGGAGGTTAAAGAATCGAAGGCGAATTCACTTTTTATGCAACGTTTTCGCCCCCGTCCTTAGATCTTAATTAAGGTCCCTATTTTAAATTAGGCTTGTGTAACGCTGAAATGTAAATAACTTTACATTACGAGTTTGTTAAGTATTTTTAAGGATGAAAGATTGAAAAAAAAGGGGGTAAAAAAGGAGGAATGTAGAAGCCTATTTCAAGGCTGTCCTCGTTGGCGGCTCTTAATTTCTTTGTTACAATGAAATTCTTCAGCTCACTTGCACTTGAGAATTTCGTCACTTGTTTGAGCTGAAAACTCTCATTCACTGCTTTCTTATTGTTTGTTAGTACTTTCAAACAGGTGTTGTGTGTATTATTATTATCGGTTGCCGAGCACAGGCGCGCACAAACCTCTAGCCTGTTCCAGGCGTTCAGATAGTGGGGAGCGGTGCGAAGTAAAAGGGAGCGCGAAAAAATAAAAGCGAGGAAGGAGGAGAGGTGAGAGAGGGAACGCCTGTTAGATTTGTTTTAAATAGACTCTTCCGCCCAGTCAGACCGCATCAACTGTAGGTGGTCTTCACTTGTCAGTCAAGACTGGTGTTACAGCCCGATGCATTTATTATTTTTCTTGCGAATAAATCGACGTTTGTCAGATCAAAAATTAATATTATGTATACGTAATCTTACTAAAAACCCAATGTAAGACTTTCAGACAATAGAAGGCGGGAGAAGTATTCATGTATAATGAATTTATTTACGGCTTTAAAACATAATTTCAGCGTGTACGTGACAAAAAATTATGAATCAAGTGACAAAAAAATATCGCTCATTTCGATAGAAAGCCGTTTCAATACAGATCGTTAACTCAAGCAATGAAAATGCACAACAATTGAAGGGAAAATTTACTATTCGGTGATTGAGTGGACGTCGTCAATAGCGATAGCTGCAACTTGCTTTCCAAGCTTTCCTTTTTGAAGTCCTTTTGTCCATTCATTAGACAACCACGATTTGGCACTTCAGTAAACAATTTCACAGCTTCCACTTTTAACGGCTTCATCCACATCTTCTCCCATCATTGCCGCCGCTACTCCGATTTTGTTCAAATATTCCACTTGGTCTTCCATGATGGTAATCAACGGAGTTACCACAACAATCGTAAATGGCATTCTATCCTGCCTTCATTCCAACGCACGCTTTATTCGAGGAAAAAGCTGGAAAATAAGAATTTTTCCAAAGCCAGTCGGTGAGAAATTACTAAGACGTCTATCCTACCGACTACGTGTTTTAAACAGTTTCTTTGCTCTTCGCTTTTAGCCTCCACGTTTGGAAAGTCACTCGGCGCTGTGTTTGTTGCGAGTTTGAATTCTGCGTGACGGCACGTAGAGTCTGTCATAACGGCCATATCGCATTTCTCGCTGTGATCGAAGACGCTCCACTGTTGACAAAAACTGTCAAAATCAACCAATCAGAGGGTATACCAGGATCTGGTATACCGGAACGCACTTTTGTTAAGAATTCTTACAAGCGTTCCCTCACCTCTCTCCCCAGTCCCCCTCTACTTTTCATCGCTTTCTTTACTCTGCACCGCTCTCCACTATCTGAACGCTTGGAACAGGCTAACAAACCTCCTGCTTACAAAAAGATCTACCACAATACACCGCAGGATACGAAACGTGGATCATGAATCATGCATCACGTTTCACGGGAGCAACCTTAATTGAAATCAGTGTATATTTCAGTAATAAATGCAGGTCGACTACAATTTCCCTTTTTATTTTACCTTTAGCGCCTCGGAGCTGTTTATAGCTGGTACAGGAACGCTCTCAGTTGTGATCATTTGGAGCCTTTATTACGTCACCAAACACCCAGATGTACAGGCCAGGTTACATTGCGAGCTAGATGAATTCATTGGCAAAAATGCACGACTTCCAGAGTTCTCAGATCGGCCCGACTTACCATATTTGGAAGCGTTTACTGCTGAACTACATCGTTCTGCAAGTGACAATCCTTTGGCGCTTCCACATTCGACGACACGGGATACATCCCTTGCGGGATTCTTTATCCCTCGGGAAACCACAGTGTTTGTTAATCTCTGGGGAATTCACCACGATCCTGATTACTGGCGGGAGCCATTTAGTTTTCGGCCGGACCGATTCTTGGATGAACAGGGGCGACTGCATGTGGAGGGAATCATGCCATTCTCGACAGGAACACGTTCGTGTCTCGGGGAAAAGTTTGCCAAAAGAGTAGTTTTCTTGTTCGTCGCGCGATTGCTGCACAGATTTAGATTTGAGTGTCCGTATGGTGAAATCCTGCCCGAAGAGGAAGACATAAGTGATTACGGGATTTTACTTGATTGTAAGCCGTTTAGGATAAAAGCAATAGAAAGAAGAGTTAATAGTTAATTGATTACATCGCTTGCTGTGCTGACAGAAATCTATTATAGAGTGTTTTCACTCACGTGGCCAGCATCTATGCAAAATTTATTGGAACAACAGAAAGCGTTTGCATGAGAAAAGAGCTGAACTCCCAGAGGATTGGTTTGGGACACCAACATGGCCGCCGTTTCATTGTTTTGGGACACCAATATGGCTGCCGTGACGTCATGTGAAAACACTCTATATTCTTTGAACATAAAAAGCAGTGTTTTGAATTTTTTTTTTTTTTTGCATTTTGTGCTTTTTATTTTGTAGTTCATGGAAGAGAGCTAAATAGCTAGCTATCATCTTAATACTGATGGAAATACCGCAGGGTGTCCAGCGGCATGGTTGCTCAAAAAAATCGGAAAATAGGAAACTCAGGATTGAGAAAATAGGAAAAATAGGAATCTTTATTAACAAATAGGAGGAAAATAGCAAAATCGATAGTACTCTCGTGCACAAAGATATAGCCTCCCTGCACCTCATCAGGATTACAATAAAGGCTACGAGTCCTCAGCTTCTACATTCATAAGACTCAGATCAACTTTCACGGCTTAAAACGAGTGAAAATGATCAGTAACGTTTAGTTTATTGGCTCAGTTACGCTGTAATCAGAATGATATGCTTGACTACAGGTACAGCGTGGTTCAATAATCAAAGGTGATCATATGCAAATTCCCTTCAAGTTGGCAGCCAATCTTTGAAAAGCTTCGAAGAGTGAAATTTCTTAGGATAGAAAATTCTTACGATTGCGTTGTCATTGAAGGATATAGAACTAGGACTAAAAAGTCCTACGGAAAGCTTTCCTTCCATTAATCTGCAATCGGTAGCTGGTTGAGAATATGCTTGTTTGAGTCAAAAGACCACATAGTTTTAAGTACAGAACCAGGCTTTCCGCGGTGTATGCAAAATGACACTGATCTGTTTGGTACCAGATCGCAAGTGTGTCATGGTTAAGTTCTAAGAAGAACGTAACTCTCTGCTTAGCTATGACTGCAAGACCAGTTTCGCAACCAAAATATTGGATCCCTTGTCAGCTGCTTAGGTATAGCTGTTAACAAGGGTCACCGAGAGGTAGTGCCATAAACTAAACTTGAGTCTGTTCTTTTCATGTAGCATCCAGAATCCAGCTAGTGATTGGTTTTTTAAACACGAAGCTGATTGATTTATCTGACCTGTGTTATGAGAGGACAACTTGATCCTGTTTTCAGTTTCAAAGATGAACATAAAAGCGAGCAAGACTTCAAAATAAAATATAACGTGTACAGATTATTACTGAAATGCAGTTTCAGTGGGCTATGCACGATATTATTCAATACTGAGTCATGAGAACTATGACACCACATACAATACATGTAGGTGCACTAGAAAATTATACAAAAAGTAAAAATATAACAAAAGTTGTCAACAGAACTCTAATAGGCAATAGAGGCATGGAAAGAACAAATGTAACTATTATTTTTACCAATATTAGAACATAAAAGTGAACATACTACTTGCTTTATAATACCTCTCACTCTAAAACACATACAACTATAATTCCATTTTGAATTTTGTTAAACATTTTGGCTTCACCAGCTAAAAAAAAGGAAAAATAGGAAGTTTTTGTTTAAAAATAGGAGAAAATAGGAATAGGCTCAAAAAATAGGAAAAAATAGGAAAAGTAGGAACTGGACTCCCTGATACGGTGTAGAAATAAAGTTATCTCACATGGGCTCCTGGGCTCCTGATTCTATTTGGTTACAGTCGGCTCTTGGTCCCTGCCTTTCTTTATTCCCTTTATTTGACTGTCTATATATAAGACGGATCTCTCTCTAAGACGGACACTTAGTGCTGGCCCTAAAGGTATCCGTCTTGGAGAGAGTTGATTGTATTCTATTATAAAGGAATTAAATTAACTGCAAAAACCGTGGACGAAGATCCTGCAAGTTGTAAACTTTAGATCTCTAGAAAAGAGATCTAATCAGCCAAAATGTTAAGAACCAAACACGAGAAGTCCAAAGACTACTGCACAAAGCTAATTCAGAACAACGTGTATTGTGTTTTCATAACAATATTTCGGCTGGCCATACCAGCCTTCATCAGGTTTATTGCCAGTTCAGTGTGAGTCAAGAAATACGACCCTTTCTTGTCACTAGCGTGCTCCAGGGTAGGACAGACTCAAATAATAATAATAATAATAATAATCATAATAATAATGAATAAGGCTATTGAGCGGATGCAGAAGTCGGTCATCTCAAACACTTTAAACATTGCCAGAACATTTAAGATAAATACTTAATTAGGGCGCTAAGGACTCCAGTTTTTAGGTTTTTTTTTTCTCTAGAAATCTAGAAACACAAGTTTGCTGATGTTTTTACTTAGATTTTTTAGTATTAGAGTTTGATATTATTCTGAATAAGCTTTTAGTAGAGATAACCACATTATGATGGCCTCGTTTAGGTATATAAGAGATACTGAGAGTATAAAAACTGAATAAGTTTCTAAATAGGCTTCTAGTAGAGTTAATTATATCATCATGTCTTTGCGTATGTTTTACCGAGTATAATAACTTAATAATATTCTAAATTGGTTTTTTAAGTAGAGAGATTCATATCATTATGCATATAAGGATCCTATTAGGTTTCGTACCGACCTTTTTTTACTTCTAAGTGTAGCTTCTCAAGTGGTGCAGGTTACGTTAAGCGCCCTATACTACTCATAGGGCCTGTTTACATGGAGGTGGGGGACCCCAGGTAGGTGAGGTAAAATATGGCGGGTCACCCCACCTATCATGTAAACGTGATGAAATTAAAATGAGAGATTATATGGACAAACGGGTTACCCCACCTAAGCCGCTAAAGCGGGTTACCTCACCTACCTGGGGTCCGCCACCTCCATGTTAACAGACCCATAGTGTGGACAGCATTCCAAAGTTTTATACTGCGACATGATAATAATAATAATAAATAAGAGTGAAGAACAAGAATAGGACAGATTGATCATAGATTCGAGACATCGCGCGCACGCGCTCACAACTGCGCGTAACACGCGAGTTGTCATGCCAAAAGGAAAACCACAGGTAACCCAGGCTCTGTGATAGTACCACACAACGGACGCCATTTTTAGATGCTATACCTTCTCTCAACTTGTGGTGAGAAATAACCCTTTCTATTGACCTCGATATCTCTTATCAGCAAAAATAATATGTTCAATATTCCTCGTTATCTCTATGCTTTAGAAATATGAGAGCAACTAAAGCCAAACGAGTAAAATTTGTTCAGTCATCGGTCGATGAATATCTTTTTGGGGAACGTGTCACAGCTGTACACGAACCTCTTGATGTTAGAACGTTCGATCCACCTTGGGAAGACAATGGAAAAGCTAAAGCATCCCCTTCAAAACCTTTGTTATTTTACTGCCCGACTTCGCCATCTCGACCAACATTTTCACGTTCACAGACGAGCCAAGCCTCGCCAGTACGAAGTTACAAACCAGTCAAATTTTCTCCTTCATATGTCGACGACAGTTTATTGGGAAAAAGAAAGACAAAACGCTCCGATTCACCGCCACCAAGCGAATTTGAACCTCCGTGGGTCAGAGAGAGCGAAAAGAGACCAGTTCGACCGCTGTTGTTTGATTTTAATGCGAGACTTGTTTTTGACAATTCTGTTGTAAACAACGCAAACACCCCGGCAGGATCTGCACGTTCCACGACTCCATAAAGTTCGAGTCGCAGTTCGTCACGAAGAAGCTCAAGGACACAAAGCGCTGGGAATTTAGATAAAATAATTAATAGTAAGCCGCCATGGAGATGAAGATAATTCAATTATCATTAAAGTGTTCAGTGTTGCAAATCACAACTCCCCACAACCAGTTATACACCATCTGTTGTTGACTGACGGTCAAGTTTGTCAACAAGTTAGTGGTTGTTAATTGTGTTGCAGGGAATGGGGGACACAGTTAGGAAAGACAGTATTGATGAAGACCATTTGTGAAAACAATGAATATTTAGGATTACAACTAGGACTACAGTTTACAAGCTTGTTTTTTATAGGAAACACATGGAACAGAACATCAAGGCTACGCGTTAGGGCAATCCCAATTTAATGCTCCCTTTCCCATCGCCCGACCGACCCATTTTTTTGGAAAAGTCAAAAAAAAAAAAAAATTCCAGAATCACTCGTAAAGAAGCAAGTACTTTAATTTACAAGCACACGATCTTGTCTTATTGACAACAATTGTCTTAAATTATCATCGATACTTCGTTTTTGTAGCCTTTTTTGACATTTGATAGTCCTGTTCATATACATCTTTTATGTCTGCTTATATCTTGCAGACTAAACGTGAGATTTAATATGCAATCATGTGTTCATTCTTCTTTTTTTTTTGCCCGATCGACCGACCCACCTTCACGAGAGGGGGGGCGATGGGAAACGAAACATTTTATTGGGATGGCCTAAGTAAAATTTAGCTTGAAAGCAGGCTCACTTGTGCAAATTCAGCGGAAATTTTCCCCAAATTCGCAGTTAAGTGAGCCTGGCTAAGAAAAATTTAAGGAAGCCCTGCAGGGCCCTAAACCTGTGACATCCAGGGTGCCCAGTATACAATTTCTTGAGGCCTTAATTAATCTGTCATTTCTCTCCCCTCTATTATTACGTCTGTGTTGTGCTGCATGCTTGTCTTGTGACCGCTAACTCCTGGCATTTTATTATCATTAAGTGAATTGAGTGACACATTGAGCAAGGTGTTGATCCTTGAATATCGTTCCATGTACCAATCATCGCATGTGAATAGGAATCTGAATGATTAAAGTGAAACCACAGGTATCCCAATCTCATAAGTGAGAACTGCAAATGTAAATAAACCGAACCGTTTCTGTTATTATGTACAAAAGGGTCAGGTTTTAGAGAGAATCTTGTGTCTGTAATAGTTTCCACATTTCTTATTTTTATGTTTGCTGATCAGTTGTTACTCGTGGATGTGTTTTCTCAGCTGTACTATTTAACTTATGCCAAAAAAATAACAATGTCGCACTTATATACCGTTATAAATCATCAAAATCATGAAAAATCAACAACATCGATTTGACACAGCAATTTAGTTTATCGATTTTCACCGATTTTCGTTATCAATCGATAAAAATCACTTGATTGCTATCGATTTTTATCGATTGACTGCTCCGGGTATGATTTGCGAGTAATGCCATGTTCAAGAGAGCCTTTCTCTAACCTCCTGGACGTGAAGTGAAAAAGTGTTCTCTTAGGGAATCTTAAGTCTGGACGTCCTCGGTGACGCATGTGACTGGGTCACAGACCAGTATTTTCAAGCGATAAATGTGCTGAAAGATGACTCTCTAATAAAGAGTGACATCGACACTATTTCTGACTATAACTATTTCGTGACATCCACACCTTCCATACCTTAGTCTACCTTAAGGATTTATGTCTGCAACGAAGGCTACACAGATTTTGTTGATACTCCAGTCTGCAACCTCCAGTCGTTGACAATCATGTTTGTCGAAATTCTCACTCTGTTAGCACTTTATTTGGCAGTATACATCGCTTCTACGATATGGCAAAACCGCCATCTTCCACCGGGTCCTTTTCCGTTTCCAGTGCTGGGAAACTTGCTCTCGATAAGCCAAGATCAGCCTTATCGTGATTTCGCGAACATGGCGAAAAAGTACGGAAAACTTTTTCGAATCCAGATGGGCAGTAAGAAAGCGGTCGTCATTAACAGCTATGAAATTGCCAGAGAAGCGCTTTTGACGAAAGCAAAAGACTTCTCTGCGCGACCGCCGCATTTTTTGGGAAGCATTTTCGGCCGAAACGGCTCCGGCATCGCGTTTGATACTTTCTCCGAGCGATGGAAAATACAACAGAAGATGTTAACTGCAGCTTTCCGCTCAACGGAAGACAAAGCCAACATGTCGTTGCATATTGAAGAACTATGCCAGCTGTTTCTTTCATCGCACGCTGAACCATTTTGTCCAAGAGATAACGTTTACAAGTCATTTGGAAACTGTCTGTCTTCCATGATCTTTGGACAAGAATGTAAACTTGATGACCGCGAGGTTGACACTCTAATCGACGCTGTACACGTCTTTCGAATGTCGTTAGGAGCAGCTAATGCAATTGATACGTTTCCCTTTTTAAAATACATTCCCTTTGAGATCATAAAACGAGCAAGGCGAGTAGGAGAAAATAGAGACGAAATTTTCAACAGAAGATTCCGACAGCATGTCTCAACGTTCGAAAAAGGCAACATTCGGTCTACGATTGACGCTATGTTGAAAGACTTTTGGAGTAATGGTTGCAATTTACTAACGGAAGAGAATTTGATTTCAAGGTGAGGAGGTGCTATTACAACTGTGCTTAAGTTGGGCCCTGTTCCTCGAAAGTTTAACTCAGGGTTAAATCAAATTTTAGTTTTCTTGGCTAGGACCACTTTAGACTGCACAACAGTCGGTTTTTTTCTCAAAATCAGTAAAAAAAAAAAGGCAAAGAGAGGCGTAAGAGTCTTAGGCGCGCGAAGCACGCGAGCCTCACACACCCGTAGGGGCGTGTCAGGCGAGAGAAAAAAAAACGACTGTCCGTTTTCATAGAATGAGTTCGTTCCGACCAGGGGGTTCAAAAATGTCGTCGAGCTGTCAAAAATCTGTTCACAACTCCACCCTCTTTGAGAATTTGATTCACTCGGTGATTGATTGCGGGGGAGAATAGCGCGTGTTATTGTCTGCACTTGGCTTCGAATCTTGACGCTATATCCAGTAATTCAAAAGAAATTTTTAGCATTGCTTCTCTGTGAAATGTAGTGTATATGGTGAAATGTAGTATATATAGTCGAGGATCAAAAATGAGAGGAAGTGGCAGTACGCCAACAAAGCCGGTGCCTGCTCCTAGAAGACGGAAGAGGGAGTAAGCCGAAAGAGCGGCGCTTCGGATAAATTGTAGAATTTCAAAACACAGTTCGGCAATTTTTAAAAGGGTGGATGGATAAGCTCGAAAAATGTGTTTATTGTGCCTACCAGGAGAAACGTTACCAAAGTTGGCCGACCTACTGAAAACGAACTTTTCGTTGTCCTCGAGGAGGGAGAATATTTCTCAGCTCCACAAGAGTTTGCTCTCCGTGGGGAACGAAGGTTAGAAACTGCGCTACGATGCTTTCGCAAATTAGAGAAAAACTGAACCCGCCAACTGACAGCGAATAATTATTGCGATTGAAAAGAATGAGTAAATCCCCTCATTCCAATCCACTTCTTCGTGGTTTGGTTATGTTCATCACTGTCCGTAAGTTAAACATCCTGCTAAAAATGTTAACGAGCTGAGCCCAGCGTGACAAAACATTGGAGGAAAAAGTCACGTTCATTGACACAAAGAAAATCGCTTAGAATTATTCAAATCCAGGAGGCGCTTTTTGGAGAAATTAAACCACAGGTCACTCAGGCTCACTGTTTGTGTCACGTACGGGTTTCATAACATAAGTAAATATAGAGAACGTATGAGGCGAAGTTTAGGTGTGGAAATTTGCTAGAAAATGGAAATAAAAATCGATGAAACTTACTGTTGTTGACCTTAATGTGTACACGAAGTTTCAGAAAAAATAGTCTGCTTCACCGTTCCTTCGTGTACACATTAACTTGACAACAACAACTCGCCACATGACGAAAGAACAAAGCCGTTAATTTTTATGGCGTATATAAACCTTTCAACGGTTTCAACGAACTGGTAATTCCACTGGTGAAGGCCCGGGGGGGGTACTTTAGGAATTTCTGGGTGGGGATGTGCCGCTGGGACCCTGGAACCCTTAACCTATACCAGAGTTAGTTCAGCTGAATTTTGCTACCCTATACTAGAGTAAACTCCCAAATCCCCCCTATCCTAGAGTAGCTGTTTCCCTAGTCTAGATAAAATCTTCAACCAACTGATTAGTTTCCTGAAAAATAGTACCCTATTCTAGACCCAAACGCTCTGATTTATATACCCTATCCTAGAGTAAACTGCTTGAAAACCATACCCTTCACAGCGGCACATACCTATATAGCCCATATATGGCAGTGCCCCCCCCCCGGGGGTGAAGGGCCAGGCCCGAAACGTTTGGAGAGGAGATCTTCAACCTAAACACGGCACTTTTGTTCATGATTTATTTATTACTTTAATGAACATTTTTGTTACTCGCCACAAGGTAAGTTTGATCGATTTTTATTTCCATTTTCTAGCAAATTTCCAGACCTAAACTCCGCCCCATATGTTCTCTATATCTACTCATGTTATGAAACCCGTACGTGACACAAACAGTGAGCCTGGGTGACCTGTGATTAAACAACCCAAAACCCTTAATCAGCCGCAAGGAAGAGCTTAGGGTGTGTTCCTTTCGGCGAATCCAAAAACGGATTTTTGATCCTAGATTTGCCAGATTTCTCGGTCGAAAGGAACGTGAAATCCGAAAATGGATTTGTAACCTTGGTAACCTTTCGCCAACGCGTGCAATATGCACGACAGCCTCTCAAAAAATGACGTGTTTTCTACTGTTTGACAAATTATGCGATTATACCGTGCAGAATTTAGTGGTCGGCAGTTCGAATAGCGACGATGGAACATATAAAACAGACAAAGAAAGAAGCATTAAAATTGAAAATTATCTAAAGGATGTCGGCCAGTTTGATCCAGTTCCATAGCTCGGATTTTTTTATGTAGCACGATCGAACGCCTGTCGCGTCTACAAGCGAGTTTGTAGTTAGATAGCAGTTCATTTGTTACTTTTACTTATTTCTGATTTCAAGCAATCTTTAGAGACAAATGGTTAGTATATGGATATTTTAATGTACCAGGAACAATCTTCTAATGTTTTCAGATGTTTTGCGGCAAATGAAAGCAACGAGGAAACTCTACGGCCTCCGTGGGAATACTTCAACTGAAAATACCGCTGGATCATCTGACTAATTTCGGATCCACTGTGAATGGAACGGCGTAGATCACTAATCCGTTAATCTGGATTTGGATTCTTCGGATTTCAAATCCAGTGAATCCTTTTTCAAAAAGGATTCACCAGATCAAAAATCCGGATTTGGATTTGCCGAAAGGAACGCGAAATCCGTTTTTAGATCTAAAATCCGTTTTTGGATTCACCGAAAGGAACACACCCTAAGTTTCTAATAAAGAGGCCAAAAAAGAAAATGCTCTTCTATCAGAGGGCAAATCATGCCGACCAGAGAAAATCAATATGCGTGTCCGAGATTTTACTTTCACGATGTATTAGGGCAGCTGAAAACTAATTTTCATACAGATTTTCGCTTCAAAAGGATTCTTGGTTTTGTGATAGAGTACGCTTGAATTTCTAAGCTTTTGCGTGATGCAGCATTTACATGACGGCCAAGAGAGTGGTCATGTAGATTTTAAAAAAAAAACTTATTTCAGGGATTTTTGCTATCTAAACAGTTTATGTATTAGAAAATGTATTACTTTATTGTTTATGAATTCCTCGAAGAATAATTTCGCGTTTTGTAGCAAAACTCAGTAACAGATGTTTCTGTTGGTTTCCGTCCGCCATCTTGTCTCCATACAAATCTCTATAAATTTCGGTAAAATATTTCTTCGGATATCTCGTATACGAAATATTCCTCTGACCTGAATCTTGGCGAGGGTCTTTGCATATTTACCTCCTTTCATTTCCCAGATTCTGAACTTTATCTATTGAACGGTCTTCATTTTTATTTTCATCTATTTTGAATGGCGTGACACTGAAAACCAACTTGCCTGCGTGCAGACGTCAAATATGTTCAGTAAACGGCCAAAATTCACATTTGCTCAATCAAAACGTTTCCCTCCAAAGCATAATCTACACGACAGAGAAAACAATTCATCAGAACAAGAAGTATTTTGGCATGAGGTAAAAGTCTTGTCTTGTCCTTCGATCTCCCTTTTTTACACAGGCGAGGTAACAATGAAGGTCGGCCGTTGCACGGAACTTGAAGAACTTTTTGCAAGAGCAAACATCTGTTAAATAGGGCTTTTGCCAAATCCTGTAGGTAGGACACAGAAAACATCCTTTCCCCCGAGCAGCAACTCCAAAGCTTCCCTCTGCTCCGATTTTAAAACAAATCCCAATCCTTGCGCGCGCAAATCCAGGTGATCAACATCTAGCCTGTTCCAGGCTCTCAGATAGTGGGGAAGACGCGAAAGTAAAAGGAAGGCAAGGAGCCTGGAACAGGCTAATCAACATCCGTCATTTCGCGAAAGCTTTAGGAATCTATACATCACTGTACCGTCACGGGATATTGTGAATGACTTGTTGAAAACATTACTTTACAGTTTGTTGACAGCTTACATCGAAATTTAGCCAATGGGAATTGCCCGTGGCTGGGAGAAGCGGGTAATTCGAACGAATATAACGTATGCAAAACGGACAGTCCGTATTTTTAGCGCCTCTCCCCTGTCTCTCTCACTGTTTTCAGCCTCTTTCCAGACCTTTTGTTTGACTGCTCGCGCGTACTTGAATACGCAAAAATACGGACTGTTTTGCTGTTTAGGACCACTTAACACAAAACGATATTCTCAAGCAATGTTTAGGGAGGCAATTAAATACCTTCACGGCTAATCCCATGGGCTTTAGTCTGCTACACAGCCGTTTTTAGTGTCGTCACGCAACGCTCCTCCCGTTGCGTGACGACACTAAAAACGGCTGTGTAGCAGACTATATGGGCTTATGCTTATCCTTATTCTGGAACCGGGTCTTGGGCCAAAAATATCTACCAAGGGCAAAACATGTTTAAGTTCCTTTAAAGCCTGATAAAAAAAACAACAACAACAACAACAACAAAAACAGTGACGTTTGTCTGAACAAGGGCTTTTTTCGATTTGCATTATCTGCACTCTTTTCCGGGATATTCAAGTTTCTGTATTATGCAAATTAGGTAAGTTAGGACGTCATCAATCCCCTGAAGAAGAACGGCTTGTCCGTCCGAAGCGTCAAGTCGCTTTTGTCGTTGCTGTTTTGTTATTAATGTTTAATTTTATTCACAGTCTCTGTTTTTTTCGTGTGATTGTCGAGGCTGATGACCAACTCGCTCTTAGTGACTTATAGGCTTCGGTGGCGTTTGAAACGGTGGGGGAAGATCTTAATTTTTCCCGCCCTCCAGCCCAGCCATATCACTGGAAATTTGGGGGATGGGTTAGGGTTTTCCTCAAGTTGCTCGAAATTTCAAAAAAAAAAACCGTAATTTCTCAAAAAGTTGCTCAAAACTTGCTTTTTGTAAAAAAAAAACAAAAACAAAAACAAAACAGAACAAAAACTTTTTTTTGTTGTTCTCCTTAGTTTATTCGGTCTGATGCAAAAATATGCAAATTTAACAACACAAGTAGAATTTCCAAGCACCTTGTGCCATTTTGCGGCGTAACCAGCGTTACTAAATAACTTTGTCCTCAATTAAAACCAAAAAAATGCATGAGTAAAGACTACGCATCAACATTAATATTTATCGTGTAAAAATTCTAGTATGAGCCAATAAAATTATCAAGACTTCTAACCATTTTCTTCCGCCATTTTGAATTTTCTTTAAAAGCCCGCTGACCTAGCAGCCCGGCTGCATGCATCTTAAGACCATTATCTGCGACAGGGGGGGAGGATCTGGCTCCTTTCTCACAGGAAATTCATAAATTGTCCACTACAACATTGTGAAATATAGAAGCAAGGCCAAGTTAAGCACTAAAAGTTGCTCCGATAATTTTATAGAATTGGTAGAAAACTAGAATTTGCTCAGAATGCAAAAAGTTGCTCGAAATACGAGAAGTTGCCTAAAAGTTGCCGAGCAACTTGTGAAAAGCCCCAAGAGGCGGGGTGGGGGGGACTTCCTTGGGTATGTGCAGCTAAACAGGGTATGGTTTTCAGGGTCTTCAGACTTGAGTCTTGAAAAGGGTATACAACAGGATGCGGGAGTTTTTTTGCACTGGAAACCTTTAAGGATGTGAAGGTTGGCGATGAGCCAACACCATGCCCCCTCGGGTAATTTGTACTCTCCCCAGTCTTCCCTCACTACAAGAAACAAGAAATCTCTTAATAGCTTTAAGTCCGGGAAGTGTAGAACTAAGTAAAGAATGACAAAGGGTTCATGACTGGGGGAAAGTGAGACAATATCCTTACTTCGTCGGACTTTTCCACACTTCCAGACGTCTGAGAAGTGTAGAACTAAGTAAAAAATGACAAAGGGTTCATGACTGGGGAAAAGTGCGACAATATCCTTACTTTGTCGGACTATTCCACACTTCCACACCTCTGAGAAGTGTGGAACTAAGTAAAGAATGACAAAGGGTTCATGACTGGGGGAAAGTGCGACAATATCCTTACTTTGTCGGACTTTTCCGCACTTCCAGACGTCTGAGAAGTGTGGAACTAAGTAAAGAATGACAAAGGGTTCATGACTGGGGGAAAGTGGGACAATATCCTTACTTTGTCGGACTATTCCACACTTCCACACCTCTGCGAAGTGTAGAACTAAGTAAAGAATGGCAAGGGGTTCTTAACAGGGGGAAAAGTGTGACATTATCCTGACTTTGTCAGACTTTTCCACACTTCCACACCTCTGAGAAGTGTAGAACTAAGTAAAGAATGACAAGGGGTTCTTAACAGGGGGGAAAGTGTGACATTATCCTGACTTTGTCAGACTTTCCTACACTTCCACACCTCTGAGAAGTGTAGAACTAAGTAAAGAATGGCAAGGGGTTCTTAACAGGGGGAAAAGTGTGACATTATCCTGACTTTGTCAGACTTTTCCACACTTCCACACCTCTGAGAAGTGTGGAACTAAGGATGAAAAAGGAAAGTAGGGATCTTGTGGCCAGCACTGGACATTTGTGGGAGATTAGAAAAGAAATGAGGAGGCGATTAATTATGTGGGCAGCGCCCAAATAGAGTAATCGAGATCGCTTGTTTTGATCTAAAGATGCTAAAGGTACGCAATAGGTGCGAATGTAAACAAGCTAAGTAAACAAGCCAAGCGACTCGAAAGTCTGCCGCGCAAAATTTCACGACACAGCAAGTTAATAAATTGGTGAGCAACATGGTCAGCAAAGATAGATCTTTGGTCCAGCGAGTAATAAACGCAGGTCGACTACAAATTCCCTTCTTTTTTTTTTACTTTTAGCGCCTCGGAGCTGTTTGTAGCTGGCACAGGAACGCTCTCAGTTGTGATCATTTGGTGCCTTTATTACGTCACCAAACACCCGGATGTACAGGCCAGGTTACATTGCGAGCTAGATGAAGTCATTGGCAAAAATGCACGACTTCCAGAGTTCTCAGACCGACCTAACTTGCCATACTTGGAGGCGTTTATTGCTGAACTACATCGTTCTGCAAGTGAGAATCCTTTGGCGATTCCTCATTCGACAACGCGGGATACAACCCTTGCGGGATTCTTTATCCCTCGGGATACCACAGTGTTTGTTAATCTCTGGGGAATTCACCACGATCCTGATTACTGGCGGGAGCCATTTAGTTTTCGGCCGGACCGATTCGTGGATGAACAGGGGCGACTGCATGTGGAAGGAATCATGCCTTTCTCGACAGGAACACGTTCGTGTCTCGCAGAAAAGTTTTCCAAAAGAGTGGTTTTCTTGTTCGTTGCGCGATTGCTGCATAGATTTAGATTTGAGTGTTCGCATAGTGAAATCCTGCCCGATGAGGAAAACCTGAGTGATTACGGGATTTTACTTGATTGTAAGCCGTTTAGGATAAAAGCAATAGACAGAAGAGTTACTAGTTAATTGATTACATCGTTTGCTGTACTTACAGGAATCTATTATATTCTTTGAACACAGCCTCATAAAAAGTGCAGTGTTTTTAAAATTTTTTTAGCATTTTGTGCTTTTTATATTGTAGTTCATGGAAGACAGCTAGGTAGCTAGCTGTCATATTAATACTGATGGAAATACCGTGTAGAAAAAAAGTTATCTCATATGGGCTACTGGGCTCCTGATTCTATTTGGTTACAGTCGGCTCTCTCTTAGAGGACACCTCCATAAGACAGACACCTCTATAAAGCGGACACCTGTACCCGGTCCGTGCCTTTTGTTATTCTCTTTATTTGACTTTCTATATATAAGACGGACATCTCTGTAAGACGGACACTTAGTGCTGGCCCTTAAGGGGTCCGTCTTAGAGAGAGTTGATTGCATTCTATTTTAAAGGAATTAAATTAACTGCAAAAACCGTGGACGAAGATCCTGCTAGTTGTAAACGTTGGAGCTCTAGAACTGAGAGATCTTATCAGCCAAAATAATTCGAACCAAAAACGAGAAGTCCAAAAACTATTGCAAAGCTGATTCAGAACAACGTGTATTGTTTTTTCATGACAATATTTCGGCTGGCCATACTAGCCTAATTCAGGTCTATTGCCAGTTCACTGTGGGTCAGAAAATACGGCCCTTTCTTGACACTAGCGTGTTCCAGGGTAGGGCAGACTCAAATAATAATAATAATAACAATAATAATAATAATAATAATAATAATAATAATAATAATAATAATAATAATAATAATGAAGGAATTGTAGATAGTGTTTTGATGAATTGATTGGATTTTTTGTAACAGCAGGTTGATTGTAAATAGGATTTTAATTGAGATTTTACTTTTAAAATAAAAAGAGTGAAGAACAAGAAGAGGAGAGATTGGGGAGAGATCATAGGTTCGAGATTATCGCGCGCACGCGCTCACGAACTGCGCGTAACACGCGAGTTGTCATGCCAAAAGGAAAACACAACGGACGCCATTTTGAGATGTTATACCTTCTCTCGACTTGTGGTGAGAAATAACCCTTTCTATTGACCTCGATATCTCTTATCAGCAAAAAGAATGTGTTTAATATTCCTCGTTATCTCTATGCTTAAGAAATATGCGAGCAACTAAAGCCAACCGAGTAAAATTTGTTCAGTCATCGGTCGACGAATCTCTTTTTGGGGAACGTGTCACAGCTGTACACGAACCTCTTGATGTTAGAACGTTCGATCCACCTTGGGAAGACAATGGAAAAGCTAAAGTATCCCCTTCGAAACCTTTGTTATTTTACTGCCCGACTTCGCCATCTCGACCAACATCTTCGCGTTCACAGACGAGCCAAGCCTCGCCAGTACGAAAATATAAACCAGTCAAATTTTCTCCTTCATATGTCGACGACAGTTTATTCGGAAAAAGAAAGACAAAACGCTCAGATTCACCGCCACCGAGCGAATTTGAACCTCCGTGGGTCAAAGAGAGCGAAAAGAGACCAGTTCGACCGCTGTTGTTTGATTTTAATTCGAGACTTGTTTTTGACAATTCTGATGTAAACAACGCAAACTCCCTGGCAGCATCTGCACGTTCCAAGACTCCACAAAGTTCGAGTCGCAGTTCGTCACGAAGAAGCTCAAGGACACAAAGCGCTGGACATTTAGAAAAAATAATTAACAGTAAGCCGCCATGGAGATGAAGATAATTTATTATTATACTGTTGCAAATCACATTTCCCTACAACCAGTTGTACACCATCTGTTGTTGACTGACAGTCAGGTTTGTCAACAAGTTAGTACAGTGGTTGATAATTGTGTAGCTGGGAATGGGGGACATAGTTAGGAAAGACAGTATTGATGAAGGCCATTTGTGAAAACAATGAATATTCAGAATTACTACTAGAACTACAGCTTACAAGCTTGTTTTTTCTAGGAAACACATGGAACAGAACATTAAGGCTATACTCTGAGTAAAATTTAGCTTGAAAGTAGGCTCACTTAGCTTGTGCAAATTCGGCAGAAATTTTCCCTGAATTTGCAGTCAAGTGAGCCTGTCGCAGGGTAAGAAAAATTTGAGGGAGCCCTGCAGGGCCCTAAACCTGTGACATCCAGGGTGCCCAGCATATAATTTCTTGAAAAAACTAAGATTTTCTACTCGCCTGGGAGCAAAGGTTAGGTTCCATGGGCATTGAATAGAAGCAAGGCTCGTGGTGACCTTGTTTTGTTAAAAACTATGCTGCGTCTTAGGTGCAAATTGTGTTACATGTATTAATGCACGGCAATAGTAGATTTATTTCCTAGTCGCTGCACTGCGTCTTCCTAGGCTTTCTTGGTCAATGCATTTTGGTGCCATATTTAAAACAAAAGGGACCATGTTACCTGAAATACATAGTCCATATGATGCAGAATGAGGCCTTTAAGTAATGTGCCATTTTTCTCCCCTCTATTGTTACGTCTGTATTGTGCTGCATGCTTGTTACATTTTATTATCATTCAAGTTCCAATCCATGTGAATAGCAATCTGAATGATTAAGGTGAAACCACAGGTATCCCAATCTCATTAGTGGGAATCCTTGCTTAACTTGAAAAAAACTTAAAATGGCCTTTTGCCAAATTTTTCACCCAATTTGGCATTAAATGACCAGATTTGGTTGTTTTTTTGTTGAAAAGTGGATATTCTCAAAAACCTGGTACTTTGCTTAACATATTGAAATATTATAAGGGTTTGTATGGGGATTTTAGCTCGATCATTATTTAAAATAGCAATAAAATACAAAATAATAGCATACCTTGTCTCCTTGTTTTGTTTTTTTCATGGTGTGTTCTTAGCATATCTGGCCATTTCAGTATGATTCCAGCGAGTTTTAGTATTTTTTGGCCAGTGCTCACACCCTTTGCACGAACTTGCATTGGAAGATTCATGACATGGTTGTGCAGAGGAAGCTGAAGGACTGTACCAAAAAGATGCACAAGTAACTCAACCTAAACAATATTTACATATGAAATGAATTACAGTTGGACCCCCACTGAAGTGGCCCATTGTTGAGTATTGGCAAGTGGCAGCTTAATGGGGGATGGCTGCTCGATAGCGGTTTGTCATAAATATGCGTAATCTTTAGCAGAAACATCACTTTATTTGCATAGGTATTAGCAATGATTTGTACTGATATTTGGCATAAATACCACGAGTGATATTTCGAAAATGTTATACATAATTTTTTTGAGACAATTTTGAAATGCATGGGTGGTATTTATGCCAAATAACCCGTACAAATCATGCTATTATTTGTTTATACTACTACCCGCAAAAGGTTTGTAATTTTCACATGTAGGTATTTCAAATTAAGCTGAAATACCACTGCTCTAAGTCAGTCAAATTGCAGAAATTTCTCGTGTGGTAGTATAATAAAACAAATGCGCAATAGGAGAAGCATTAATGGACCACAATTGGCTTCACCTTCTATCTTGGACAGTAATAATTTCCTTCATCATATTCTTGAAATAAAGCCAAACTAAGCGTATCAAACACTTGATGGCCACTTAATGGAGGTGACAACGATAGGAGACCTCTCTTTGGAACAGGCAAAAGTTGGCTGCAGCTACTTAATAGAGGTTTAATTTCCCATTCTTTTCTACAATATGGGACTCTGATTACTGATTACTGGCGGCTTAATAGAGGGTGGCTCAGGCTGCTTAAGGGCAGTTCAACTGTGGTCGTATTGTTTTTTTTTTTGCTTTGCATTGTTTTCCATTGTGTTACCCTATTCTGTGAGTGAAACTGAATCGGCTTAAGTCTCTGAGAAACTGCCCACCACTGCAACCCTCCCCCAACTACTCAACGTTAACACTTAGTTCTCACTTACGGCAAGATGTTGGCTTAGGGGAGGGGTTAGTGGGCAGTTTCCCACAAACCTAAAGTGACCCGTTCAACAGACTAGCCTGATCCAAGAATAGATCCTTCCATGTTTTTTTTTAAACTTTTGACGTGGACCAGTCAGTGAAAATCTGTCGTCACCACCAGAAAGAACACCTTAAAATAAGTAAGACTGCCAAGTTTGAAGGTGGTACAACTTTAAGAAAACAAAGATATGACTCTGCTGCCAAAGTTGTGATAATTTACAGACGTTTGTATGGTGGGGGGAAAGACTGTGCCCCCCACCATACCAACGTCTGTAAAATTTCACGACTTTAAGGAGTAATATCTTCTAGTAATAGTTTTTCACAAATCACTCTCAAACTTGGCTGAAAAAACATGGAAAGGTATATTAAGATAGTGTGCATCTCTGTAAAATGCATCAAGGCAAAAATGGAATTAACAGTTTTTTCCCATATTTCCACTACATTCCCTTCTTAGTCCAAATGGAAATCATAAGGGGTAGGGGACAGGGAGGAAGAGAAAAGGGGGGGGGGTTGGGGAGACACTTTTCCCTTTCTCCCCCTCCCCCTTCCTTTCTTCTTGTAGTGTCCTAAAATGTATTGAAATGAATATTCGATAATTTAACAAATAAGATTCCATGTCACGCGTTCCAGCCCCACGTGGGGCAGGAACGCGTGACGAACCTCTAAGAACGTCTGCGACCACATTTTGACCTCCTCTGTGATCTGTTACTGAACAGATCCACGGCAACATGGAATCTATTTGTTTTATACAATGATCAGAAAAGAAAAAGACCGATACACATACCTGCTTCGTATCGCCTGACTGTTCGAGGATTTGTGGAATTTTAGGCATTTTTTAAGTCCCAAGCGCTACTTTTTGTTTCTTCTTCTTCTTTCTTCTTTATCTTAATTGTATACAGTTTCTTCGAAAAGTTTTTTAAAGCCTTTTCTTGCGCAAAGCAGAATAATGGCGAGAACATTTTGGAAAACGGCGAGTCTCTCGAAGCGATGAAACACGATGGCAGAGATTTCTTGTAGTTTAGGCATTCTAAAGTAGTCAAGAGCTCTTTTTGTCCCCGTTTCTCCATTTTCCTTTCTTGTAAATAGCTCCAGTGGAACTTTTTTCGAGGATTTCACTTGCTTTTATCCGAATTAATCCCACAAACATTTTCAAAACCGCGCGCCATGTTGAAAGAAACAAAGAAAGCAAGTTTCGCGTGACGTCATCCATGTATCTGTACTCTGATAGATCATGGGCAACGACCAATCACAACGCGCGTAGCATTCACATCACTGTACAAGAGGCCACTTCCGAGTTCCGAAAAACCTCACTTTCAAAATGAGGCGGAAAATGAGTTGTATTTGCATGAAAATGAAAAATTATTTACTTAACCTAGTTTTGATAAAGAGGCCCAGGGGAACTCGGAAATAGCCTATTACTGTGACATTCTGAAGCTTCATTTAAAACAAGTAGAGGCAAAATGTATTTTGACCAGCACTGCTATATTGTAGCTTATTTCCAAAGCGCCTTTTCTGCTCTGGTTAAAAGCCCCTCGGTTTATCAGCCTTCCCAAACCCCTTATGAAATAATTATACAGTCGAACCTCCCGTGAGCGACCAACCAAAATAGCAAAAACCGAGTGGTCGCTTATGGGAGGTGATCGTTTACAAGAATCAAGCCACAGGGCGCTTTTTCTTTAGAAGAGGCTGACTCGTCCCCAGTCGTCTTCGCGTGACGCGCGCGGCGGTAGCAAAGGGTAGCTTCCTCCTTCCCATCACACCCCTTGCGCCACCAAGAAGATAGAGAGAGATGACTGGGGACGAGCCAGGAGAAGAGGTCCAGGCACATCTACTTTATGCAGGAAATTTATTGCATACAATTTCCAAGTTACGCCATGTGTAGGTCCATATTGTTTACTAAAGTTCTTCGTATACTCTAGGTAGCACAGTGCACACAGTGAACAAAGAGATCAGAGAATGCGTCAAGTGGTCGGTTACAAGAGGTTAAAAACAACAGAAAATCAGAAAACTTTCAGGCCCAAAAAGTTGTCGCGGTCGCTTACAGGAGGTGGTCGTTTACTAGATGTACCAACTGTAAGGCTTTGACTCGGAATGTTTTAGTGTTTTGGATGAGTGGTCGCTTATGGGAGGTGGTTGCTTTCTAGAGGTGGTCGCACATGGAGTTTCGACTGTAGTGTAAACTCGGGACCAGTAAGTAAACAGAGCAATGTGACACCAAAGTACAACGGCCATTGAAATTCTTTATTACAAAAATTAATGAGAAAGAGGCAATGAAAAATTTATTGTAGGAAAAATACTATTACATTGTCTACAAAAGAGAACAATACGTACAATGGTACAGTGTATGTATAACTTTTATCATTTTGCATTCAAGCTGCCAATAAATCACGAATAAATTTATCCTGCTCCTCAGACAATTTCTCAAAGTCTGCAAGTTTTAATTTCTGATCATCCTTTATTGCACTGCTTTGTAGAGACCTCTCTGGATTCTCAAGCAGGCAGTCAGGTAACAACTCCTCCAGTTTGTTTGCCAAATCAGCAGAACGACAAGAGTCTGAATCACTGATGGTGCAATTTGAAACTCCCTGTAACAAGTCTGTGTTTGAATGACAATTAGACAAAGTATCCTTTGCGGAAGATCTTGCATCAACACAATGTTCAAAGCCTTGCTTTTCATCAGAATGCACATTAAGAACTTCTGAACAATCCACAACCGCATCACCATTGCTGGATGAGCAAGAAGGAAGACTACTGCATGAGCTAACGGAAGCTGGACTCGAATAACCACTGTCACTTTGCAATTCATCACTTTTGAATTTCTTATTTTGTTCTTTAATGTCCTGCCATGTTAAGAAGGGTGCCGGTAACCCTGGACTAGAAAGAGGTGTTGCACTCGTTTCCGCATCTGACTTTGCACAAAGAGGAGAATTTGGACAACTATAGCTGACTATTCTCTTCTTCCTTGGAATGTAAGGTTCAAACTTCCCGACGGCCAGTTTGTGGGTTGACTCATGGAACAGCAGTCGACTTCTTAACAATACTGGAGGTAGTCGTGACAGTGCACTCCGGTGAGACAGTGAAAAAAGTCTTCGCTCATCATTCCCGTGAGAAATTAAGTTCATGTTACTGTCAGTTCTTAATGAGGGCATTAATACAGTCCTTGATGCCGGAAAATTTTGTTTTACCTCACTAGCAGGCTCATTTGGAATGTTTTTTGCCGTTATTGTCCTGGTTGCAGAGTATTGTGGAGATTGAACAAATGCATTTTGCCTCTCCCATACTGCAATGTGTACTTCAGACGGAGAGACAACAGGAAGTGCAGAACTCCATCTACAGACTGGTGACTTCAAGTCGTCCACTTCCATCCACCTTTTTCCTGACAAGAGAAAATGAAGTAGAGTTGTCAAGTTTTACTATCCAGTCAGATAATTATGCAAAGTACATTATTTACTTGTTTGTCTTTTTTTGCCACAATTATAAATAAATCAATAAACAATGATTTAGAGGTAGCACATCCACAAAGTGGTTCTTTGTCTACCTGATTCCTGGTCGAATTGGAATTTGGAAGTGTTGGTTTTTGAGGAGAGGGGAAAACTGGAGTAACCAGAGAAAAGCCTCTCGGAACCAACAAAAACCTCAACCCACATATGGTGTCGACGCGGGGATTTGAACCCAGGCCATATTGGTAGGAGGCGAGCGCTCCCCCCACTGCACCATCCCTTGCTCCCCAACCTTGCTCCCCAACCATGAACCTCTTCAAGGATGCTAAAGAAAGTAGTGACTCATTCAAAATCGAACAAACATGTTTAAACATGCTTGCATGCACTGTATTAAGTACAGCTACAAAAAAAGACTAAATGCGCTTAAAGTTGATTTTTGTGAAATCTACAAAACCCCAATGAAATAATTAGTTAGTTTATTGCTACACAAGTCATTAGTATGTTCCAGTATTTCAGTGGCATAAATCATCCACCTCTCCAGAAAACTCTGTCAAGTTTTTTCCTGTTTTTGGTTTTCAGCTGATGACTCTTGGATCAACAACAAAGAACTTCAGTTTTCCTAACAGGGCTAAAAATTGACTACACTGCTTTGAGGACAGTTCAGGCACAATTTATTCCCTCAATTCTAAGTGGCCCATGCAAAAATAACCTGTGCCTGGCTGCATAAAATCTGCACTTAAGTGCTCACTCAAGGGTGATGTTACACGGGACGATTCACTACCATTTTTAGCATTTCAATGTTGGAACAATGTTGGAACTATTCGAAACGATGTTGGAACACTGTATTGCGCTAAAAATCGTCTCGTGTAACATCATCTTAAGTAGGTCACTTATGAATCCGTTATGGGTACACTTACAGGTGTTGCATAGAATGCACTAAGCAATCTCCCAAGTTTCTGTTTTACATGATAATTTATGGGTTCACTTAAGGGCACATGTAACTTTGTTATAGTACTTTATTAATGACTCACTCTACTTTTTTAAGCTAATCATTGGTGAGTGTAAACAAAGTGTCTGGTAGTCTAGAACACTTTTAAGCCTCTCATTGAAATAAAATTTGTATGCAATCGATATTTTGCTTCGATGTCTACTGAAAACCATTGTTCTTCTTCTTTTTTCTCAACTGTGGCATTAAAGTGTACCTCAGAGGTTAAGAAAGCGCATTAGAACGAATTAAGTAAAGAATAAACTTTTTTCACTTCTCAAGAATAGATCTTGTTAACCTTTTAGTAAAAACAGTAAGGATACAGGACCTACATGTACGTAGGTCCTGTAAACTTATGTGCTATTTTTCTCATAAAAAAGTTTTATGAAAGTGTACACTTACAAAAATCGCAGCCACTTAAGTGAATTCCCTTAGTGGTCCACTTAAGTGATTTAATACAACTCACTTAAGTAACGAGTGCACGTACGTATACCCGTAGTTGTTACAGTGTTTTATGCAACCGGGCCCTAGCTATTGGTGTCCAAAGTCTTCCCAATTCCCTAGCCCGCTTAAAGATTACAATAGCAACCTTCAGACTTTATTTTTAGCCCTGTGCTAATTAATACCTCGAGGCTCTTTTGCCCAGCAGACAAAGTGATCAGGATTCTTTTTGTACTGAATAAACTGCGTCATCACATAGTGACCATCTTCTGCATTCAATTCCAGGTCCTCAAATCCTGGATGCTGCAATCCTTGTTCGAAGTGTAAGAAAATACAATCGGGCATCCTGCCAAGGAAACGTAAATCCATGATCAACATTCCTTTCAAGGTACAACCTTTCCTGAAGATTTTACTGAACAGAATTTCATTAACAGTGGAACCTCGATGAATTATAACGAAGGACCAAGGGAACGGCAAAATCTGTTTTCTATAACAAGGTTTTATTGTATCAAGATTCTCGTTCATAATTATACTTTTACTATCACTTGGGTAAAGAGAATATTGTTTGTTATACCAAGGACTTCATTATATAGGGGTTTGTCATATCGAGGTTCTACTGTACTCATTTTTTTCACCTTTTTTTTTTAAAATAGGCCATTTGCATGATGGCGTTACTTTACTACTACATTGTATGACCAGAATCCTTTTTTAACTTATGACTAGCACATCAGAGTGATGTGGTGATACTTTGTTGTGGTCTTACAGTAGCTGGCAATTTATTCGACACGTTTAACTACTGCATTTAACTAAGTGACAATGAAATCTTACAGTTCCTTTGTCTTACAGAAAACAATGCCATTTAAAGACCAGCACAAACCCAGATCAAACTAAAAAAGATACATTTGAAATAAACAAAACTATTAGATTGACAAAACATGATGTCAGAAATCCTAATCCTACATGTAAACAATACTATTTAATGAGCTCCAATAAATGGTTGTCCCTCAGGGTATCTGGGGAAAGCAGAAATACCCCACATGTTTTATCATCATCATCATCATCAGAATATGAAATAAAATCCAGTCGTCAAGTCTCCATGGCTCAAATATGGATGAATCTGTGAGCGGGCAAGATGAAGAGAATCCTTCACTCCGATTGGCCATCCATCTTGCCCGCCCGAGATTTCCCAAATTGATCCCGCAAGAAAAAGTTCTCTTTTCTCCCATATAATTAAAACACAAAAAAAAACTTGGCCAATCTTGACCTCACGCTGGGTCAATAATGCATTATACCTTGCACACCCCAGATGTTATGAAGATCGCATACATGTTGGTAACCTCTAAAAATAATATTAAACAATTATTTTTAGGAAAGAGAGGCTTACTGCGCTTTTCACAAACATGCAAATTCTGAAGTTCAAAAGCCAACTGACGATTGCGTTTTTCACTGCCATCAATCATCTTAACGGACCTCTTAGGAAACAAAACTTTACTTCAACAGGTTCAAAAGGTCAAGGTTTATGATCTGTGATTGGTGGATTTCGATCCGTTTTGCGTGTTTCTGTGTTTCAAGGTTCGTTGCTTGTGATCGTAATTATGATTGACGGCAGCAAAAAACACAATTGTGAACTCGGCTTTTGAACTTCAGAGTTCGCATGTTTGTGAAAAGCGCAGTAAAATAAACAGATCATAGTGCAATTGCATGCATTAAAATTCACTTGCCTGTCATACACAAGCATGCTTCTCTGCTTGGGGGCACCACATTTGAAGCAAGGACGTAAAAATGTTGGATCCTCAAGGTCAAAGCCATCTGCTACATTCGGGAAAGTTACCAAGTGTTTTCTCCTTCTGTAAGAGCAAACATTCATGCAATGTGATTAGCAGGGTTAAGATAACTCAGGGTTAGCACTAAATTTGAATTCAGATATGAAAGCTTAATAAGCAAATCCAGTTTAAGTCTTTCTGCCTACAATTTGACAATTGGATGCTCTAAAAAGAAAAGAGAAAATTATAGAAGAAAATGCTTTTAAATGAAAGAGAGAGAAACCCAGGTAAAATTTAACCCTGGTTTAATGCTAATCAGCCTTCGAACAAATGGGCCCAGAGTATAGCCTCAAATGAAGTAAGGAGTGTTGCTGGCTTGTATTGAAGACATGAAAAGATTACAATTCACAATCATAACTACTTAAAATAGTTATTCTATTAATGGGATGTTTGATAACCCATTCATAAAAAGAAAAAAGGGGAACAAAGAATATCTATAGACTTTTCCACTGTTTCTGATGCTGTAGGTGGTGGCGGAGATGAGGCCATCGCATCACTTTGTAGCCTTGCAGCCCAACTCAACATTGCCATTCTGTGCAGCTCTTCACTGTCACAGAATCCCCACTAATGCTTGTAGCTTAACTTAACACGATTTAGGGAAAAACAAAATCTTGACTCCTAGGGTTCAGTTAAGAGCATTACACCAAGTTTAATAAATGTTGAAAATGACTTGTTCAGACTACAAACATAATAATTACAAATGGTCGTAGTCTAAACAGGAGAAAATTAGCTATATACAGCTGCACATTGGGTCATATAACAACAGACAGTTTGACACCCTAGTTCTAAATGAAAATTACAGTACGATATGTTTCTGCAGGGATGTAGCTAAGGAAAAGCTAAACAGGCCTGTTTTATTAATCAAGCTGGCTTTCTTACTCATCTATACCACCCACCCCATGTCTTTATTTTCCAGAGCAATTTAAGCTGCTGGTAAGCTCTTTTTCAGCCAGTGAAATCAGCCAGCAGCTAGCTCTTAGCGAAATCCCTGTGTACCTGGATACTGCATGTATTAATGATCTATTGATAACGCTTAAACCTTACTTGTCAACTTGACGATACCCACAGGCACAGCAACTAAATTTCCACTGATAACTCTGCAGAGTTTTCTCCAACAATGTACAATTTTCACGCAACAGAAGAGGCAATGCAGTAACAGGACTGTCATTCACTCCATGCTCACACTTCATTTTGGGCTGTAAATACTTCCACACTTTTTCCCTGGCAGCTTCCAAGCCTTTCTCTGCCTGCTCTCTGTTAACTGAAGAAAGTTCCTGTGCTTTGTTGAATGAGTCAGTCAGTGTTCTTAATAATGAGTCTACATTGTGAGTGAGAGTGGACAGTGTAACATTGTGTACAATTAAAGACAGAAGAGAGTGTAGCCAGCAAAGGGAATTGATGTTTTTCCAGTGAAGGTAACTGTCCAGACATCTGAATTTCAAAGCAGCAGTTTCTGTTTCCTGAATAAACACAGACAATAATAATAAACATTGTGTTCACCTACATGTATGCGTAGTTCTTGAGATACAAACAAACAAAAGTAAGTGAAATAAATGTGTAATAAAAAAGTGAAGTAAGAACAAAAGTGTCACATTTTCTGTGGAGCACTTCGGCCTGGCCGGTCATTTGTGGAATTACAAGCAATTTAGAACTGGCGCAAGGTTCATATATGCCACGAATTAAAAGATGGGGAATCTGGGGACACAGGATTTGAAGTCCTAGATTTTAGGACTTCCGGTCATTTCTGATTTTCTACAATGTTTCTAATAGCGTTCACTTGCTCTTGCAGAAGTGTCAATGACTGTAAATTTAGGTGATTCAAAGATTTTAAAAGAGAATCCTCCAACTTGCATCTGAATCGGAAATGACTGGAAGTCCTAACATTTAGGACTTCAAAAATCCTGTGTCCCCAGAGCCTACTGGTTCTCATGCTCAGGCCCCCAGGAGGCTCTGGTGATGACAATGTTCTTGAGGTAGCCTGTTCTAGGCTTTCAGACACATGCAGTGCTGTCAGTAAGAACCGGGGGCCAGGATTCCGCTGGCTGCTATGAACATGGCTCCCGGCTGCTTTCACAGGAAACAGAAGAAAAATAGAACCAAAAGAAATCTGCAACTGTTTGATTCCCCGCCTACTTGTTGTATTTACCCTGCAACTTGAGATCTTAATGAAATCCCTGTGCATGTACCTGTAGCGGAGCACGGGTAAAAAAAGAGCATTTTTTTGCCATTCTTTCTTCATTCTTCTTAATATTATGATGGCAAGACTCTTTTTTTTATAGAGTTTCCAAATTAATCATCTACTAGTTAATGGCATACAAGCATGGTTCTAAATAAACATTATTATGGCAGCATGCAAGGCCGATACCTCTTGAATGTTTTGTTTTGCTCGACAATATTCACGCAAAGTAAACTATGTGATAGTGAATAACAAAGAAAAAAAAAACCCAAACTTTTGTATCAGAGCTGAAGCATGCAGTGCACACAACACAATTGTCAATGGCACTTCCAGTTATATTTTTGTATAGCCCCACACATTAATATGCATGCCGCAATTTCATACTTTTTCTCACAAAAAGTATAATATGAATAGAGTTGAAACATGTCTGCATAACAAATACAGAAATCTTACCACAATTCCTATAAATTTGATACCTCTTTGAATAAAAGTGAAATTGTTCTCTATACACTGTTGCATTTCCCCTGTTATTTTTTAAAATAATGCATAATGAAACGAACATTTTTTTCTAGGACATCCAGAATAATCAAGGACAAAGCAAGAGTTATCAGCGGAAGCCGCTTGATTATTGCACATATCAAAGAAGACACATCCAATAATTGTTTAAATTGTTTTGGCAGATAATAATTTTCAGAACAGCTGAAAGAAGTTTAAACATAGCATGCATGATTGCAAGATGTCCATATTTTACAAAATTAAAAGCAAAAAATAAAATTCCATATATATTGACAATAAGAAAGAGGCTTTCTCTAGATGTAGACAAAAGGAACACACTCATAAAACCGAGTCTTTTGAATAGTACCACATCAATGACAAGTTTGACTCTCAATTAAAGCTGTTTTCAGCTGCTCCATGATAATAACTTTGCGCTCGTAAGTTGTATTTTTGACGTCCAAGTTAATTAGTTTGTAGGTTTTCTTCTCTATAAGCATAGTAGGGTAACTCACTAATGCATATATTACCTCATTTTTTCCTTGTTTGTAGTTCTTTTTCCGTTTTCGCTTAAAGTTTACAACCTCAGAAGCTTGGCGTTTTACGATTAAGGTGGCATTGCTTGACACACCAAGGGGGTAGACACACTGCAAAAAAAGAAACAAAACACGAGCTAAAGTTAAGCTGAAATAATATCCCTCCAATAATTTAGTGCAATAAAATAAAGTAAGGAAAGTTGCAAAGCTAAAAGATGACCAGAAAAGGAGCTCACCTCCTTGTTTTCACAAAGCAAGATGGCTTCCTCTAAATTCAACTGGAACAAAATCAGCTGCTTTTTCAAGCCTTTAGCCTTGCAAAGTCCGCAAAAATTTTCCATCAATTGCTTTAGAGGAATGAGCTAACGTAGTTTTTATCCTAGGAAACGTTGCTTCGTTCGGAAATTAGCACTTTTTAAGTTGGAAATCCATGCACTAAGACACCACATGCTTTCGCCGCCATCAAAACGTTCGGTGTCGTTCTGCAGACTGACAGAGCAGAAAGAGTCTGGGTACGTTATGAAGAGCGCATGAGCATCAAGTTATACCGCTGGCAAAAATGAATGAAAGTGAAAATAGAAAAATGGAGGGAAAAGAGGGGAAATTCTTTCTAGGAATTTTTGAGTGAGTGGCCCTATCTTGTCCCAGTCTGAAATGTGTATATACCCAGGTATTAATTCATACCCTTCTGCGTCATTTATATTGTTTATTTGACTTCACGAGAGGTAATCTTGATTAGGTAACATTTTTTGTGGTTGAGAGAAGAAATATTTTAATCTTCTTGATCAACTGTTGTATGTGATCCTTCTGTATTACCAAGAGTTTCTTGGTTTCAAAGCACTTATCCACCTACCAAAAACATTTTATTTATGATCTCATGGGTGCCGGTTGAGTGCATAAGTGTAATTCAAGGGAGGGGAGTCTGCATTCCTCGAAACTCTTCCCTCCATTTCCACCTTAAATAATTATATGGCACTTTTTTTCGTTTAAATAAGATCCCTACCTCGGAGATCCAAGTCATACAAGGGATGATATGATGTGAGTGGAGAAAATTTTCAAGAATTGCGAAAGGGCCAAAATGTGGAAGAGCTTTCACGACTGAGCTTTGGATTGGCCTCCCTGTGTTTGTTCTGCGCGGGGAAATTACGCAATATGGCGTCTAGCCAAGCCAAGGTTTGGTTTCTTTCAGAGACTTTCAGACATACATTATATTTGCAAAGTTGAGGTCATGCTTTAAGCTTACAGTATATGCTATTTCCCTCTTTTGACGAGGTGTCACAAAATGACAGGCCTTTTTGTTTGATCCAAATTTAGGAAATAGAAATCCGATTCCGCACAATACAGACCTCGTGACTTCCGAGCATAAAATGCCAAAGTCTTGTGACTTGAGGTTACACTCAAGGACACGGAACGTGGTGATCATCGAGAATTATGGCGTTGTTGTTTGTTTCGTTGGCGCTTCTTTTCGCATCTTCCCAAGCTAAATATCTGCATGAGCCGCTGACGAAGGAGGCCATCGATTACATCAACTCCTTCACTTCGTGGAAGGCTGACCCAGATTACGCCAGCTATGATGTTGAGCATTTCAAGGGCCTTTGCGGCGTTCCACTCGACGATAAAATTCCCCCAAGACCTAAAAAGCTAGGGCTGTTAAAAGGTTGGTTTATTTAAACGTTAAGCAAGGGTTAAGTAAGCTTACATTTTGCATCTACTTTGATGACCAGTTAAAATAATTCGGCATTTTCAGGAGCTCCGATCATATCTGACACTGGATCATTTTTGTTAAAGGGGTTTCTTTTGTACACCGGTTGCGCAAATTACGTTTATGGTTTTATAGAAATATGGCATGAATGCCTCCACAAAATATTGAGCGGACGAAAGGTTAGCTAGGTGTAGGGATTGAGGTGCAAGCGTTTGATCTCCAATGCCAGATCTTACCTTACATGCATGCATGACAAAATTATTTTCGCTTAGTCATAGTCGTGGGTCACCAAATCAGGAATGAAGTCATGTGACTTTCTGACTATTAAACATCACGTGATTGTCATTGTTTACAAAATACATGAGAAATTTCCTTTCTTAAAATGTCTATACTGGCCTCTATGCGGTTGTACAAACTCAGTGGGCTTTCTTAGAATATTTGACTGATACATGAATTTTAGTTCACCCAAACTGACCCCCTCTTAAATATTCACTTTTAAATTAAATGCAACGATACAAAAGCACGATATAATCTAACTTCTAAAATAATACACTCACCTTTAAATTCAAAAATGTCGGAAAATGGTTGATCTGCTTCATGCCATTGTCTAAACTTGTTTTAATTCAAGATAATTTTTGGCTAAAATCAGGCAAAGGTTTGGTAGTCGAGGAGCCTGTATTACTACCATTAAAGCTTTTTCTTAAGAAAGTCAGCCTTTCCCTGTCGCTTGTGTCTCCCGCTTCATGCCCACCTCACGCTTACCTTCCTGCACCTAAAAACCTGAAGTCTATTCTGCAGGGTATAGACACTGGGACTCATCTGCGAGTAAACCCTTCATCAATTCACATCACACTCTCTTGAAGAAAGGTCCTTTTTAAGTCCTTAAGTCACAACCATTTCCTTAATTTTTAACAAATGGAGAAAAAGAAAATTTGGTCGCCTGAGGAATTTGAGCATGACCTGGCACTACTAATTTTAGAGATAAAACAACTAGTTTCTTGCCCCTTCAATCAATAGCTGTCATCATAAAATTATACATTTTTCCCAAGGAAAAAATGCTCCTTTTTGGTGGAAGCATACAACGCAGTTCATAATGTTTCCACACATTTGCCACTCGTTTATGAGATAGGAGAACTAATATATAACATTTTGGTAAAATGAGTTTGAACATGGCATGAAGTAGATCAACCATCTTCCACCATTAATTTTTAGAATTTGAAGGTAAGTGTATTAATTTGAAAGTTAGATTATCTCTTTTTAGTTTAATTTATAATTTCCAGTGAATTTAAGAGGGGGTCAGTTTTGTCCTAGGCCATGAATTTACATTAGGTCCCTCTCCAGAGACAGAGGGTGCAAAACGTGCATTTTGTCCTTGTTAAGGTAAAATTCTGACAAGTGACATGGCCTTGAAACAGTGACATGCGAAAGACCAAATGGCCACAGACATAAATTTAGATGAGTTGAAACTGCTTCAGCAAAAAGAACACTGCAAATGCAGCAGTATTAAAATACCAATAGAGATGTAACTTTCTCATAAATTAGGTGAAACAAAAAAATGTAGAATTCAGACCACACACCCCCACTCTCAAAGAGGTTAGGGCCTCCTTAAGGCACAATAATTACGCTACAAAAAACTGAGTCTGTACCAGTCAAAAAAGGTGGTATGGCACTTCTAACTTTTGTTAAGAAATACTGAAGTTTTCACAAATCATCAGAACCATAGGACCGACCTCTTTTTTGACTGGTCCAAACCCAGTTTTTCTGACTTGGGAAATGATGGACCTCAGTTATACTGTTTCTTTTGATCGAGTCTGAACTGTAAAATATACTTAACACTTTTTGCTTTGTTTTATTTAGAAAAGACAGAGTATGAATCTGTCAAGATTCCAACTGAATTTGATTCAAGACAGCAGTGGTCAGAGTGCAAATCCCTTAATGAAATTCGTGATCAGGGTTCCTGTGGAAGCTGCTGGGTGAGTTATTATGTTTGCTGTAGTTGGCAAATGCGTTTTTAAAAAAGCCCCAGTATCCATGTACGAATTCTCCATACCGATCTCCTTACATTTCCTTACAAAATTAGTCGAGAGAATTGACAAAAGATTGAAGCATTTCCCTTTGATGATTGTTTTATTGATTCTTATTACCTTTTCTGTTGTTTTTTTATCGATATTGTGAGGAGATTATTGATGTTGGTCACACTAGGGACTTATTTAAGGGGTTAAGAAAGCCTTATTATTCTTTTATACCAATGAAACATGAAGGGAGACTGCAAACCATGGAAGAAGACAAATTGGTGGACTAATGCCGTGCAGTAAGAGAAATTGAAGGGAGCCCAGTGCTCTGAATTTGTGAAATTCAGGGTACCCAGAAGTTAATTTCTTGAGAAAAAACTAAGCTTTTCTAGTCGCCGGCAGGAGCCAGGAAGTCCACCAGTTGCCAGGGTTCAGCAGTGCCGCTAGAGCACTGCCATGAGGACACTTGTCTGGAATCAGTTTTAGGAAACAAAATTGCAATGATGCAGACAAAGGAATGTTGCAGAAATTTGCCAGCTTAGCTCAAGAGAATTTCCAGCTGTTCAAAAGATTGTTAGTTAATGAAACAGGCACTCTGTAGACTGTGAATGTTTCTCATGCATGACATTTGATTTTCTCTCATAACATAAGCAGGTTAGGTTACTTGTGTTATTTGTCAGTCTAAAAAGGTAAACACACATGGTCCTACAGCTGTAGTACTAGCTATAGCATATCAATATTGCACCTAATATGCACTGCATTTTACCAGGCATTTGGAGCTGTAGAGGCAATGACAGACAGGATCTGCATCGCATCTGGTGGCAAACTGACACCCCATATTTCTGCAGAGGATTTGCTTTCATGCTGCTCTTCATGTGGAATGGGGTCAGTACATAGTTAATAATACTATATATATATACCTTCACTAATGTACACCAGTCCCTTAAGCTAGAATCTTCTTAATTAAGCCCTTTTCAAACAAGAGGTGGCCCTGCCCGGACATTGTACATCTTAATCATCATCAATTGTCAACTGCAGAGTAGACAACTGTAGAGCCTTTGTGCAGCGGTGATGTTGGAGGAGTAAACAATTAAAAAATTAATATTTGCATGAAAATGAAATTTTTTTCCAAAGGAAAATCGTTTTATTGTTTTACTCCTCCAACATGGCTCTATATACTTGTAATGTATCACCCGCCCCAATGAAATATGTTTTAGAAAAATTAATTCACTGTCCCTTTTCACATTCGTATTTTGATATCTTCAATTAACTTCCCACAGTGGCCAAAAACCTGGATTGAATCAAGTCATGCAATATCCTGTTCTATAGGCATTCAGGTAGTGGAGTGTGACATGAAGTCAGACTCAGTGGGCAAGAAAAACCCCCCTTGCAGTTTTTCCGGTGCTAACATCTCCTTGCTCATCCTCTTATTCTGAATGCCTGGCACCTGGAACAGGCTAGTCAGGAAATGACAATTATTTTTTTAGAACTTACGGGTAGTGGTTTGTTGGTGCTGGCTTCCCAAGACATGTACACAAAGATTTGGAACATGAAGTAATATGAAAATAAGGATATTATCATAGAAAGGACTTCATAATTTGCGTAAAAATCAGATTAAGGGAGATTACAAAAAAATAACGTTGTTTTCAGTCTAAGGGACAGTATTTTACTGAAGTCATTAGTATCCTTTCTTGTTTAACAGATGTAATGGTGGATTTCCAGAGGCTGCTTGGTGAGTCATAATCAGGCCATAATGGAAAATAATTCATTGCCTCTTACATAAGAGGTTTACTACATTTGATGCAAACTTTCTATTAAAACACATGTCAATTTAGCTTAGACACAACCCTTAGATCACCTAATATAACACCAGTTTTTAATTAAAGACATGTAGCCAAGATTAGGAAGCCTCATATATATAGTTATGAACTTAATGTTTCCTTGTATAAAAAATGCTGATGTTCAAAACAGCTTGTAAATTAGGCTCTTTTCCTTGATGCCTTTCTTGATGTCTCTAAAATACAAGCTGAAAATACACTCGAGATGTTTTCCCTTTTATGCATAAATACTACCAAGTCAGGTTGTTTCATGATTTTGATGTGATCAGTCATTATCCAAGTTCACTAGTCTGATTTAGCAGTCTACTGCAAACTTACTAATGGCAAGTCAGGTTGACTACTGTTATGATGAGTAATTACAGCTGTATAATAAGTAAACGTCAGTTTGACTTCTGACACATGAAGGACACTTTCCCTGTCCCGCACGTTTTAGTAATGCACAAATTCAAATAGCTCAAAGCCCTACTGAATATAGCATTTTTGGACAGCCGATGAAGCTTTAAAAACAAAAATGAACAAAGCGGATCTGAATCTAC